CCCAGCACCATGTAAAGAATTGAGAAGGCGGCTGCAGCTATTTATGGTTGGGGTTGTCCCTTTCTAACCTTCATCTACCCGGGTTTGGACTGTGGCTCACTTGTTCCCCACGATGGTTGCCCAGCCAGGGAGCCATCTTGCGCGTGGCATCGCTGTTCTTTTGGATGTCCACCTGCCCGGCGACTTCGGAATCCGACGACCTCGTCAAGCGCGGGGGCCCCGAGGCCCCTCGGCAGCGTCTGACGGGCCTCGGGGCCTCGGGGCCTCGGATCCGGCGGCGGAGGCCCGGGCCTCGTGGGAGGCGCTCTTCACTGTGAGGCCATTCACCTCCTCCCGGAGCTTCAGGATGTCCTCAGATAGGCGCCCGTGAGGCCGTGAGGTGACCAGGTGTGACCTAGCAGCGCCTAAGCCCATGGAAAACCCCGCGCGTCTGTCAAAGTGCGAAACCTCAGCTAGACCTGGGTTGAGGCTCAACAATCTGGCCGTCTTGTTTGGGGGTGCTGTGGCTTGGTCAGCAAAGGCATTCTGCTCACAAGTGGTTAAGGCCAAGAATGTCCGTTCGATCAAGAGGAGCATACACAAGAAAAATCATTGTATAACCACCACAAACCTCCTGCACTGTTCTGGCGAGCCTGGCAGATCTTGAACATGTGGACATGCCCCAGACTTCAAGCTTCATGCTTGCCCCATTCACTTGTGATACACCATAGAGTTATGTGTTCATGCATGCATCCAACCCACCCCTCCAATCGGTATCCTTGCCAAAGCCTCTACAAAAAGTACTGTTAACTTCCGATTGCAACCGACGGACCGTGAATCAGGGGTGGTTCCCTTTTGCTCAGGAAATGAACAAAAGTGAGTGGGTCCCTACTGGTGAAGTAGGGTCCTCCAAACTCCGAAGTTATCAAACAGGGATCCTTACATTATACACCTGAACATTGCCTTGTAAGTGGTGGTTTCCCTTTGTTTTGGTGTTGAAAAAAGCAACATGTTTCAAATGGTTGCAAAATGTATCTTTTAAGGAGCCCTGTCAAAGCACCGCCGAATTCGCGCAACTCGGCCGAATTTGCCCAAACCCGGCCGAGCCAGCGGCTCGTTTGTGCTCACCCAGCCCGCCCTGCACTCCGCTCATGCGCCTCAGCCATTAACCTGGACTGCGGAGCAAACATCAGCTTCTCATACAGCGCTGTTTTCCTGCTGTAAGCCCGGACGTACGCGAACGCTTGCACGGAATGAGTACATGTGCAAATGTTTCAAGATGGTGGCCTGTGACAGTTCGGCAAAAGTCTCTGCCTTCGATAAGACATCCAATAACTAGGTAGGTTGGTGAGCTACTGAGCAGCACGGGCGGAACCTCCCATTGACTTGAACGTATTCGAAATGGCACCTGATGAAAACTCCCCTTTCGGCGCTCATTCAAACCGTGTTTTAAATCATATATCATATACCATATATCTATAAGTGCCATATTTCATATTCACACAAAGTGCCACTCTCTTGCCCAAGCAGAGCCTTGATAAACTTCCTCGCTCATCCTATTCCACCCTGAAGCATCCGTTGCTTTACTCCTGGGTGAGTCACCTCCCCATCTCTCGGACCCGCGCAAGTCCAGCGCGCCGAGGCGGCGGGAGGCTTCTGCGCTGCGGAGCTCCGCCTGCATCAAGGGTGGTCCCCCCGTTTCATCGTGTCCCTAACTGGGCTGCTCGCAGGTCCCCTGCTAGAAGTTGAACTTTTAGGTTAGATAGAAGCTACCACTAAACCCAAAGAAGCTAAAAAGCTAAGGAACTGGATGGCTGGGAGCCACCAAGGTGAGTACCCTTTTCCCAAAGGACATGTCCAAGGTGGTTTGTTGAGGGCGCTGAATGTCAAAACCTGCAGAGGAAACTGTCGAGTGTTGACTGTTGCTCAAAGGATCGCGTGGGTTTTTGAGAAAAAACTGCGAATTCCTGCAGCTCTGCAAACTGACAGAGGCTGAAGAATGAAACTCCAATGGAGTTTCAGCATGCAGATCATACATGCACATCTGGGCCTTCAAACAAGGCCAACTCAATCTTCTAACTCTACTCTCTAATCTCTAGACTCCAACTGCAATTTCCAGCTCTAATGTCCAATTCGATCCTCTAACCCTAACCTCTAACCCTAGCCTCTAACTCTCTGCAACCTCAAACGCTAACCTCTAACATCTAACATCTTACCTCGAACTAAACCTCTAACATCTTCCCTCTAACTGCAACCTCTAACTCTAACTCTGGCCTCTTACTCTAGCTCTAAGTCTAACTTCTAACTCTGACCTCCAACCCACCTCTAAATCTAGAGACTTGAGTTTCGGGGAGTCCAGCAACGCCACACTTGCATAGCTACTCCAAATTGGATCAGAAGTTAAGGGGAGCGCGTCACAGTCAAGCACAGAAAAGCAGGGACTACCACAATTTCAGCTCCGCCTCACGTGTCGATGACTTGCGTGCTTCCGCCCGCACAGTGTTAACCCATCGCCTGCTGCTCCACGGCTCCGATCTTCTCGAACGCCTCTTGCCTCAGCCAAACAAGATCTGGCTGCGAGTTTGCAAACACAGCTACAACCAGATCTATTCAGGCTGCATTGGCGAGCTATGAGTCAATGAGGTGTCTGCCGCCAGGTGGCTGCTTCTGGCGGATGTCGTTCTTCAGGCGCGCCTCGGTGTCCGCCACGTTGCGCTCCAGGTCGGAGCGCACCACCGCCACCTGCAGATCTTCCCGGCGCGAGGATACGCATCGAAATGGAACAAGCCCGTGCTCCTCACGTTCAAAATTTCTCATGAGTCGTGCGCCGGATTTATGCCACTCATCTGCTGGGGCTTCCATGCAGTAGCATCTCCTACCGCCTTTCTTCATGTACGGAAAGCGAAGCCTCCCTCTGCAAAAGCCGTGGTGCAGGTCTCCATGAACTGCGCCTGCCTCGTTGAAGCAGTCACTCAGGGAATTCTGCGTGGTGTGGAGGCTCTCTTGAGTGGCAGCAAGATCCTGCGCGGAGGGCGGAGCACCATACGAGTTTCGCAGTTGTAGGCAGTATGTTACCGAAGTTAAGCATTGATCAAGCCAACTTGCCGAACTCAGACCAGGAGCAATCTACAAATCCGCCGACCCCATGCCTGGTCCAGAATGGACCATGCTTTTGGCATGGGGGCGGTGTGTTCTGTGTTGCTTTTGTTGCTATGTCTTCTATAAGCTTAATGTGAATAGAATTATGTATAGGGGCAGGAAGTCCCTTGGGGCAGGAAACTACGCCGGCTGGGTCTCTGCATCTCTGGATCTCTGGATCTCTGGATCTCTGGATGTCTGGATGTCTGGATGTGTGAATGTCTGGATGTCTGGATGTCTGGATCTCTGGATGTCTGGATGTTTGGATGTCTGGATGTCTGGATCTCTGGATGTCTGGTTTTCTGGATGTTTGGAACTCTGGTTTTCTGGATGTCTGGATCTCTGGTTTTCTGGATCCCCCCCCCCCCCTCCCCGCCAAGACCCTCCCCCCCCCCTGCGTGTCTGTGTCTGTTTGTGTCTGTCTGGCTCTGTCTGTGTCTGTCTACGCATCTGCGTCTGTCTTCGTGTCCGCGAACGGGTCCCTGCACGCGTGCTTTCTCTCGCCCCGGGCCGAAATTCTAAGGTGTGTGGGGGCGGCGGAACCAGGCCGCAGGCCACTAAATAAGCCGTGTTTGTCATCCAAAATCCTTGCATGCAAGCCCATAAAGGGCGCAGACCTACGCGCGGGTCCTTGTTGGTGAAATCGATGCGGCCATTCAGGGCATTGACTGCCTGGTCGGTGTCGCTTGTGATCTTGGCCTTCGACTCCTGGACAATGCATGATGCCTCTCAGACGCAATTCAGTCCTTCATTTTGCAGCAAATCGGATAGCTGTGCTTTTGCAGCTGATGTGTACATGTTGGGTAACCGCTGGCGGATTTGCACTGAATTTACGCCGCTCAATCACCCCCTCCTCCAAGTTGGTCTCCACAGCAGTAATGTCATGGCGGATTGTGGCCAGGATCTCATCCACCTGAAATCACAACAAGATCCTCCAATCACGCCACAAGAGCAGAAACGAAAGCGCCCATATTTACTCGATGTGAGGCTTGATCGAAAGCTTTCGTGGGATGAGTATTGGGGGAAACAATGGAAACACTAAAAAGATGCGTGCCCGACGAAATGGGAAAGCTAGCCTTGGTCATTTGGGGAGGAATATCGGTCAACCCATGGCTGTTTCGCTTGCCTTGCGGCGGCGGGCATCGACATCCAGGCGCAGGGAAGAGACCATGTCGCGGACCTGCACAGCCAGCCAGCGCAGTGGATGCAAGGGGGCATGAATCTGGAACTCAACATGTTCTTGGATACGTGAAAGCCTAACCTTCAAGCCACAAGAAGGGAAAGACTCAGTACTTTAATGCTCGCTGGCCCCCGAAAAACCGGTCGATCCCTTCAATCTCAAGTGGCCCTTCAGAGGCTGGTCAAATCTCGCTTCTCACCGATGTCAACTCACGCAACGCGCCGTCTTGATGGCAGCATCCAGGTCATCGTTTGCTTCCTTCCATGCAACGTTGTCCACCTGCACCGCATCAGCTGTCCATTGCCAACAAGCAATAGTGGCACGCAATGCTCAAATCAGCACTGCCACAAAAGTGTAAATAGCGGAAGGTGACAAAGTTTCGGCACTGATGTGTAAAACATGCGAGTGTATGCATTCCAGGGAGAGTTGAGGTGAGATCATGCAAATGCAGGCCAGGGCCTTCGTGTCTAGTTTAGTGTTCATCTCGTTCTTCAAGTTGATGATGTCCTAGAGCCCATATCAGGTCCACAATTGCCGCATTTGAGTTACTGTACAGACTGTACACCTCTATCTTTTCGGCCGTCACGCCAAAAAGCATTGAAACTCCTGCATGGGTCGAACCTTGACAGAACAGGCGAGTACTGAAGCAATGCATAAGAAAACATGGCCAAAGCTATTCCAGTCCTCAGTAAGGTTCTCCTCCTTCTCCTGCATCTGCTGCAGGGTGTTAGACACATCTTCCATCCAGCTGTCGTGGTTCTTCAGCGCTTCCTGCAATTCGAAGCTTGTGGTTCAGGTCAATGTGTACAAGCAACGAGCAAACTGTTCTTGCGAGCCGCTAAATAGGGGCCGGGCCGAATTCTGACAAACGTTGCTCATTCAGTTCGAATGTGCAAGCCCATATCAGTCTAACAATGCTTCTGACGTGTGCTCTATGGCTTGGGCAGACACTTGCTCAGAAACCAATGGCACGGCCGAATGCAGCTGGCCCCTTTGCCCAAGCAACCCCCACCTGGATGTCGCCAATGTCCAAGCGCATGGTAGAGATCTCAGCGGTCATGGTCGCCTGCCACTCTTAGCAGTGGGACCAGCAACTAGCAGCTAGCGGCGGGGGTTGGTAGCTGACGAATCCACCTTCAATTCATCAGAACCCTCGTTGTTAATTGGACTTTTCGTCCTTGGCTGAAAAACAAATAGGTGTCAAACAGCATGACTGTTGCGCAAAAGGTCGCAACCTCCACTCGCTGGCGGCTGGTGATGATGGAATGGGTGGCATCCACACGAGCCTCGGGGCGTCGCTGTGCCAAGTCAGGCACTGCACATGCTCATCACGAAGTGAACACGGCAATGTTTGAAGAAATCCAATGGGGTACACCCAGCTCAATACAAATGCGTGCAAGAGCATGGACGAAGTCTGGCGGAGATGGAAGCATGTGGCTATATTGGTTTTGACCCACAGCCATGACAGTCACATTGCCCAAAGCTGAGGGTTCCGCGCGCATCTCATCCAAGTCCACATTCACAGCATCCATGGCTGCTGTAAAGTCCTGATGCGTCCGGCACATGCAGGCCTGGAAGAACCCACAATGTGTTTACTTGGCGAACCTGAAATAGAAGCGCTGTACGTTCCATGGTGAAAAACAGCTTTGCCCGCACCTGTACCTCTGCTATAAGCTAGCGTGGTAGAAGGATTCAAGCAGTGGCTACAGCTTTCTGTTGACTCATCAAGTTTCGGGTCAGCAAAAGGTCCCGGCCGATAAAACCCATTGTAAATTGTGAAATGAGACAAACTGAGCAAGCAAGTTTAGCTGTTTGGCCAAGGACATGTTGTCTTAGGAGCTAAACTGAGGGCATCCAGCCAAGTACGCTTTTCGGCTTTCCGCCTCTGTCCTCCATGTCACGCTCACAGGCAAGGACGATGCGGCGGATATGATTCACTTCTCCCTTATTGTTGCCTGGCACTTTGCGCCGCTTCCAACTCAAGCAGTTTCGTTCAACTTTGCCGCTCATTGAATTTGGAGAGCCAAGTGGTGCAATGGCCAACTCGCCGGATGGACCGAGAAGGTCTTTTAGCTCACCCACATCGTACTTGAGCTGGTCCAAGTCCTAGCAGCCAAGCTCAGAGACAAATGGCCCCTCGGCCGAACTAGCCGTCACCAGCCTCTGCCATGGTGTCGAGGCCAGCAGAGCCCCCAGCCCCGTCCGCAGGCTTTGTGGCAGTGGCACCGCGGTTCACATGGCTCAGCTTCTTGTCCTCGCTGCAGCCTGTCCCTCCATCATGCAAGCGAATGCTTCACCTGCTGTTGTCATTGCATGGGCCTGTCACTGTGCTAAGTAGCCAAATAACCTTCGCACCTTTTGTAGCAGCTGCTCTAGCCACGCCGCCGATTTCCTTCTGACTCAATGCCGAGCTGCAAAGTCGGTCTGGAGGTTGGACAGCTGCGCTGTGATCTGAGACTCGAAGTCTTGGAGCCTTGTGGCCACCTCGCAAGCTCAAGGCTCGCCGCTTGTTCCAGTCAATGGACCAATGGGTCGGCATCGTTCACATGACTTGTGTACGCCAACCACTTCGAAGCGTGCTCACCATGAGAAACGGCCTCATGCACATGACCTGCAAACAACCCTCGGCATGTTGGCCGAAGCTACACCTCGCTGGTGCTTGAGGATTGCACAAGTTCCAGCTGCCTGTCTCCTTTGTCGACTCTCAATGTACTGGCTGGTGGCCTACATCTTCCGGTATCAATTGAACACCTTCGCATGTGAAGCTCTTTGTGGCATCCCGCCTTCTTCATGACCTGCGCATCGCTCCCGGCCTTTCGAGATGGCGCGGCATCATCACCTGGCACGGATCTGACCCGCAATGGCACTGGGATGGGCGTGCAAATGTTGAGTCCTCGCGCGGCGAGACACTTCTCAGCAAAAAAAAAGAGCGCCACACTTTAGCGCAATTATCAGCACCCACGCACGGAAGACGCACCCTGCCAAGCTTGCCTGCTCTTGACAGGGAAAAAGGGAATGGCCTAGCTGGTAGGTGTGGTTGCCCAAGTGTTCCCAACAGAACCAGCAAGTTCAATCATGGAGCTGAGGCAAGGATCGACCTGGCGAAATGGAAAAAACACACCGTGTACCTGTACCTGCGATGCCTTGAATACCTAATGCCTGCATGCTTCTGCATCCCTTCGATCATGGCCAATACCAACTCAAAGTCGCGCACTTGAACTGCTTGTCGAATTGTCCAGCCAGCGTCTCACACATACACCGCACAGACCGCAACTTGCAAGTTGAAGTGCAGTGACCAATGCAAGAGGTGTGGCTACGAAGGTTCAAGCCGTACAGGCAATGCAACATCGCGTCTTTCTCGGCCTGGCCTGACTCCAGGGCGGCCAGGCGCTTCTCCAGCTCCTGCAGCTTGGCCTCAACCCGAGACTTCAAGGCTCATGGAATCTTCGGGGGCTATCCCTGGATAAGCCCAGGATAACCCAAGGATAAGCCCTTAATAAGGCCTTAAGAAGGGATAGCCCCTCCCCAGCCCCCCTTTAAAGTCCATGAAATGCGTCGCACAGCTTGCGCCGGGCGGCTTCCAACTCCGCCATGGCCTTCGCACGGAATTCGCACCGAGGGCGGGAGGGTTGAGCCACGGGACTGCGGCGTCGGAATCGAGCGTCCAAGCTGAGCTGACGGAATCGAGCCCTGGGATGTAGTTTTAGCACTGCAAAGCTCAGAAAACACTGCGAATACCATGGTTTTGTGCATGTGGCGCTGCTGGCGTCTAGGCGAAACGCGCGTTTTTTGCTTGTGCAAGGCATCTGGTGTCTGCATCTGAGCATCCCTCTGGTCAAAAACAATACTCGAGAAAAACCAAAAAACACCCAAAAAAACAATATCTGGGAAGTCTTCTGCCATCTGGTCAAAAAAACCAAAAAAAAAACTCGAGAAAACCAAAAAACAAAAAACAAATATCTGGGAAGTCTTCCGCCAGGGGTCGTCTCCAAAGAGTGTCTGAAAATTGGGTATTGTTTCGTGTTTTTTTGTTTTCTCGAGGCTTTTTTGGTTTTCTGTCGTTTCTCTTGGCTTCCTTTGCTTTGTGTATTAAGGGCTCCCTGGCTGCAGTCTCACTTGTGGATGTGGAAACAACTTGTCCGTTCGGCAGTGTTGAATTCACACTCACATCAACTCGCGTAGTTATGGCAAGTGTGGGCTTTGTGGAAAGTGTTCGGCGCCAACTCGGTGAATGAGATGCTGCCCTGTCCTTTGAGGAAGCCAGAATTATCTTACCCTTGGAGTTGTATTCCCCTGGTATTCCCCTAATATTGTTCAGTATTCCTTAGTATTTTCTTGGTGTGCCCCTAGTCCTCTCCAAATACTCTCCTGATATTCTCCAGCATTGTTCTTTGTACTTCCCCTAGTATCCTGCATCTGCGGTCCAGTTTCTGAGTAGCCAAGAACTAGGGAAACACCAAGGGGATAATAAGGGAATACCAGGGGAATAACAAGAGGAAATGCTAGAAGAATACTAGGGGAATACTGGGAGATATAGTACTACGAATAAACAAAGAAAATACTAAGGAATGCTGGGGTTACTGGGGGGAATACTGGGGGAATGCTAGGGGTATTCCAAGAAAATACTAAGGAATACTAGGGCAATACTGGGGGAATACTAGGAGCGTACAACTACTAGAGATAAGAGAATGCTAGAGGAATAGAGAATGCCAAGAGGAATACTTGGGGATGTATTGGCAACATACTAGGGGAATATTGAGGAATATTGAAGGAATACTGGGGAGCCATTATAAAAAGAGCACTTCAAAAGGGGGGCTTGAACCAGGGAAGATGCCCTTGATGAGTTGGGTCAAGGGGTCGGGGAAATCCAACTGATGCGAGCCGCGATTTTGCGACCGGAGTTGGAGTCGTGAACACGGAGGCATTGCTCGAGATCTCGGCGAGTTCCGTCCTGTGAACCCAGAGCGAGGTTTCGCGCGTGACACGACGCTGTTGACACCTAGCGGATTGTGAGGTCGGGTGCCACCAAAAGAGTGCAGCACCGCCCTCTAAAAAGAACATGAACGAGGCCGGGTTGTTCAATCCTGGGCTCCCGTTGCGCGTGATCACATGAATTCCATTCTGTACCAAGTCTCTCCCTTCTGAAAGGATCAGGGCAGCTGCCTCACAAAAATGGTTGTTTCTCACAAATATCGCAAGCAGGAATAACGACAACTTATGTTGGTCAATATGTTACTCCAAACGTAGGGACGTAAGATATCAATTCTTGACCCATGGCTGGTTGCACTGACAGAACCCACCGAAACTGGTTGAAGGAACCTTCGTGTTGACTGAAGGGTCGGAATCGCATGGCCACCCCAATGAATCTTGCGGTCTCGCCGTGCCAAAAAGTGAGACAAATCCAGGAACTCTGGCTATGGAGTTATCCTTGGCCAGCATCACTCTGAGCATCATGATCTCAGCAGCGTGTAGGCCTCGGGCTGGAACGATGGCGGCAAGGGCTGAAGCCGCGATCATGGCAAGAGATGGTGGCAAAGAAAGCATCCCAGGCTTGTTTGTTCTGTATGTGGCACGTCTATGCGCTTTCAAGCAGAAAAAAAAAGCATGGAACTAGAGCTGCATTCATCTTAAACAAAGCCAAGTGCCTCCTCCCCAGGCCCAAATGCGCTTTGCAAGCCTGCAGCCATGGCTGCTTGTGCCAATTGCGGATCCAAAAGATTGCAAAGTAATATAAAACGGTTTGGTCTTTGCATTTGCTGAAACATGCTCGAAACACAAGTTGATGCGGAGGTGCCCCCTTTGCTCCATGCCAGTACGCAGAATGCATTCATGCAGAGCAAGCACTGATATTTGATGCACGGATGCAGAGCATTTGAAACCATGCAGGCAACCATCAACCTTCAAAATGCAGGGTGAATGGCAACTGGCACTGTTGAATTTGCTCAAACCAGAGCTGAAAGCAGTGTTGCTATTTGGCCATCGGGCAGAACCTATGGCTCCATTTTGGGGTGGATGAACATCCATTTGCCACCTATTTTGATGTTCACCAAGGGTACATGGCTTTGACCCACGGCCATTTTCCGTGACTGTTTTGCCCCTTATGTCATTGCTTGCCGAAGAACAAACATCTGTTTCCAGAGATCTCCGATCAGACCTATCAACGAAGCTGCTCTCAAGGCGTTCAAAACCCACCCGCGTCCCGCGAGCGATTGCGCGCGCCGAAGACGGGCACTTGGGTGCCCCGCGGCCGCCCAGTGCCGCATCAGCAGCGTGGGAGGGAGGTGCTTTTCAATTTCCTGCGGCAATCGGAATGCCTCAACTCCTAAACCGGCACCCAAGAACTAAGTGGGACATCATTCACCTTGCGACTCCTCCTGACGCCCAATTATGTTAAATCTCAACGTTCGCGCAAACTCACAAGCAAAAGCTGTCTGCCGACATGCAAAAGTCAAGCAGCAGAGTTTGCATCTGCCCTTGAACAGTCGTAGCTGAACGGAAGGATTCCACAAGCCAGCTGCGCCACCCTTCCTCAAAGATCTCATCATTGATGTCCAGGAGGTCTCGAATTGATGCCAGTGTCGGCAAAATCTCCTGAAGCTCAATAGGCAAAGAACATGTCGATTTCTCTTCAAAACTCTGCTAAAAGTGGCATTTGGCTGACACACCTACGTGACAAAAGACTTCGGTGGCACTTCATGACAATCAAGCAGTCAGCTAGTCAATTGCCTTCTTGATGGCTTCATTAGGGAGGAGCGCCGTTGCGCTTTTTGTGACGTGTGCGCCACTATCTGTCTCTCAAGCTTCAAAATGTCGACCAAGGCAAATTGCGAGCTCAAGATCCAGGTGCATGGCAGTCCGACCGATAGAAAGGCCAAGTAGCATAATCCAGGCCGATCACCGTCTCTGTAAGTCGCGTCTCGCCAAAGGTGCCCATCCTCAGAGTGAGCTTAAATAAATCCAGACCTTGACACACATGCTCCCATGTTAATTGGCCTGTTTGACCCTGCTAGCTGCTACTCAAGACTAAAATTGTTCAATCACCACGCAGAATCCGAATGGAATCAATCATGCGGCGTTTTGCACAGCGAGGCCAGGATACGGAGAAGCAGACCATGTGCGAGCAGCTGGAGAAATGGGCAAGTTGCCAAACATGGATATGACACCCAGCATGTAAGCTCATTGCTCGATTCAGCCGGCATGGCTCTCTGAGTCTGAAATCTACGTCTCAGCCGTCTGGCGTCGTGACTGGCAGAAAATGATATGAGGTTGATGTTGTGTCTTTTCTAGTTACATTGCTTTTCTGTGCAAGTTACTTGCTTGAACTTAGAGCCCACTTGGCCGTGACGTGAGAGCAGTTCATGGTTCCATGGTTTTGCATTTGCCGGGCCACAGAGTCACCAGCTGGTCAGGCAGATTGGGCTTGGCCGCGAGGAGTTCCTGTTCCAATTCCTTTGGAAGCTCTTCCTTATACCTCAGTGCACTCTGCTCCCCTTTCTTCCAGAGCTTCAGGCACCATGCAAAGCGCATTGTGGCAATGGGGCCAAAGAGAAAATCCGCATGTTCCCTCAGGAACATTCAGCATCTTGGAGCCCAGGTTTCGCACTGCCGAGCTGCTTAGGATCGATACTGTCCAGAGGATCCTGCAAACCACGACCGCATGTTCAAGCCTGACGGGGACGTCCCATCTAGCAAAAGGACGCAAAACATCCGCACTCTATGGAGTCCTTGTTCACGATCTGCTTCAACACTTTCACCAGGGCGTCTACATGCCACAGGTGCACATCACTTCTTGCAGCTGCGGACATGAAGGCCTCTGGGCCTCAGCACTGTGCCGGAGGCTACAAGTCTCCAAAAAATGTGCTGCGACTTCTGAGCATGCTGAAGGGTAAGTCATTGGGAGTCATGAGTGGGCAAACTTGCTCAGGAGGGAGCAGACCCTGACCTCTGCCGTCAGAACTATTTCCGCCTCGATCATCCGTGTTTTTCCTAATTTCCCATCCAGGTTCAACGCCTGAAGGAACCAAGCCCTGGGCAATCAAGATGCCCTCTTCAACCCAAAATTGCAGAAGGATCGCTGCGGCCCCCCGCTCTCCGCAAGCACATTACGCATGTAGTCTGCGAGGAGCATCTCACCTGCGACGTTGGACGTCTGCAGAATGATTGGAGAGAAGGAGCCACTTGGGCTGGCTGCGACGTGCTGAATATTTCCGGATTTCATTCAAGCCAACATAGGTCAGGCTCAAAGTGGCCATGGCTTGTGTGGGCACGTCATATCAGAGGCTGCCTGCTTATGAAACATGATTTGAGAAACTGCTGATTACATCAGCATGAAGGCAAGCTGGACATACTATCTCCAGCCCATCTTAAGGCCTGACCCGGCCTGATTTGTCAGTGCCAAGACTGCTGCCGGATTTCACGATGAAGGAGATGGACATCTGTACCTTGCATCAAATGTGCCCACAAAGGGGGAGGGAGGGCTGACCACTCAACACATCGCCTCCCTCCAGGTGGTTTGGATGGGTGCTTACGGGACGGCTTCCCATCTACTCTTCACAAGCGGGGGTGACCTGAAGGACACCATCGCCAGGCCATGGGTAAAAAAATCCAAATCGATTAGCCAGTGAACATCAACCAATCCAACCACTAAAATAGGTTCTAGTATGGGTGGTGAATTCACCGTCCAAAATGGGATCCCATTGGTTTTGACAACCACAGCCTACACTCGCCGGCCTTCTGAAGACACGCGTTGGCCAGGGCCGGCGACGGGATCTCCATCTTCAGGCGCTCGATGGTGGCTGGAAGCAGATCCCGCTGGTTGATGACCTGGCGCTTTCGATTGCCACCAGAACCGGAAGATCAAAAAACGCCCCTCGCCAGAGTCCTCCAAAGGCAGATGCAAGTCTGACACCCGGGCATAGGGATGTAAGGTTGTCAAATGTGTTTATGTGTGTGTATGAGTGTCAACTAGTCAGGTGCTTCGAAACAACATTTAGCGTCGCCGTCAAAGTCATGATCAAACAAATGATATGGGAATACTGTTAGACTTAGCGGAACGAGCGCACTAGCGTGAAGGATTATCTGAAATACATCTTCATCATAATCACTAAATGAAGGTTCTTACCAATTTTGGCAAACCCTTGAACCATCCGCTTTCTGCTTCTTTCTGATTGACATTTGCTTGCGAACCGGTCGGCACTGGTCAGTGTGCAGGTCAGCCTGGGATTCTCCCCTTTGTCTTCGTCAGCCTCCCGAAGCCTCCCTCTACTTCCCAGTCAAATATCACCAGCAAGGGAAGCTCACCATAAACGTCGCCAAACATCGGGCGATGCTTCAAAACCAACCGGGGAAATTTCTAGGAATTTCTAAGCCTCTGCCTCCCTAAGCGCCTAAGGCCGACAACCCCAACAACAACAGCGCCAGGTGTGCGGTCTTCAGCTCGTTGCCCGCGGCGAAGGAGTCCCCGAGCCATTGGAAGCCCCGCATCTCGATGGTGACTTCCGGCCTCCGATCCCATCGGAAAAGCGCGCGCGCGCGTCAGCCGCTGAAGTCAGGTAGCGAGCCAATGGATCGCCGTGAGACCCGAACCGGACACAGGAGCTGAGAACAAGAAAAAGGGTTGAGGGATCTGGAAATCACCCACCCGTGCCTTGAAAAGGACAGAAAACGCCTCTGATTGATCCAGAGCGGTTTCTTCATCCGAGGTTGTTCGCCCATCTCGCCTGCTGAGCTCTCTTCTGAGGTACTGCTCAACCTGCTTGAGGTCCAAGTTCAGCTTTCCGCCAACGCCTCATGACACAAGTTTGAGACTGATGCCATCTCGCAGCATTTGCTGCAACATCCATAGATATTCTCTGAACTGGGTGTTGATCAAAAGGTCCGCAATACACAGGGTGACCAGGGAAACCACCGAAAAAACGATACGACTTTTGTTCACCACAGGAAGAAAAAAAAGACGTTACCCATGGTCAAACCTGAGGGTCTTTAATGGAATATGTTTCGATCAACCCCCAACTGCCCACCCTCTGCAGTGTCTTTTCGTAGCAAAGCCACCCCAGGTGGCACACCGGCTGCTGAGGTAGCGCATCAGGTCCGTCTTGCTGAACTTGATAATCTTAGTGCTGCGTGCTCTGTGCGCGTTGCCCCGCACATATGCGGCGGGGGGCACAAAGCCAAAGGTAAAGGTGGGGGGGGGGTTGTCACCCCCCCCCCCAACAAAAACAAAGGGTATGAGCCTTCTCTTTTTGTTGATGCCTGCCCTACCCGAGTGACCTCCCAAAGCCAACTTGCCGCCTTGAACATGGCCGAGGGGCATCATGCTGTGCAAGGAGTCGCGAGGACACCTTTCTGGCTGGATAGCCCAAGGTTCCTGCGCAAAGCTTGGCATGCGCCACGTCCCTCAAGGGCAAAAACAACCCTGGCCGTTTGCATGAGAGGCTATCACAGGTTACAGCCAAATGCTTTTCTGCTCATCGGTCTCGCCTAGATCATCCATGTATTTTCACACTTAGTTGGACGTCATCTGACGGTGTACTCCCTGTACTCTCGCCTGCTACAATCTGCACCAGCTGATTGTGTTGGGCCACAAGCCAGTCGATGACTGCCAGCGCATAGAGTCCATCATCCTGGCCGGAGAGAAGGCTTGTCAGACAATCCTGCAGCCTTTTGAGTGGCCACTGCCTCTGGTTTCAAAATCGAAACACGCTACTCGCCCCTGTTTGTTGCTGACCGGCGACAAGCGAACTGCACCAAACGCTCGTGTTCCATGCCGAACGCACGCTTGGAAGCTCTCCTTGGAGTCTGGGATGCAGGTCAGGATAGGGTCTGACTCGGAGACTCTGTACTGCCGTGCGGATTCGGAAATCTGCAAGCACCTCCGGACGCTTGCAGAGAAGGATGGCCAATGATGCTTTCCAGCGCAACAGTAATAAGGGGGCAGTCGCCAAACCACGAGCTTCTTTCAGGAAGTGCTTTCCCACAGGGCATTTGGTCACAAGCAAGGCATGGACAACCACATGTTTGCTTTCTATTTTACCTGCTTGAAAACAAAAAAAACGCTTAAACCCCAAAACAAAAAAACGCCTATGAAAGACGGGGATCTCACGGGTACCTCCCCATTCGACTTCCCCGTTCGACCCATGGCGCTCGTACTCGCAGTAGGGCATGGCCAGCTTCCAGGCCCGCTCGAACGCCTTGAAGGCCTCGACCCGCACCGCAGAAACCACGGAACGAACGAACGAACGAACGAATAAATAAATTAAATTAATTAATTAATGTGTAGTTATGTATGTATGTGGTATTTTGTGTTGTGTTTTGTTGTGTTGTGTTGTGTTGTATTGTACTTGCATGTGTGATTGTATTTGTATTTGGCTCTGCATTTGCATTTGTATTGTACTGTATTGTGTTCTAGTGTATTGTACTGTGTTGTATTGTATGTGTATTTTTATTTGTATCTGTATTTGTATTGTGCTGTATTGTATTGTGATCTAGTGTATTGGATTGTACTGTATTGTGTTGTATTGTATGTGTGCATGTGGGAATCTTTGTTTGTTTGTATCCGTATGTATGTGTGCATGTGAGTATGTGTGTGTTCAGTGCATTGTGTTGTATTCTATTGTCCTGTATTTTATTACGGTACTGTGCTGTACTGTACTGCATTGTATTGTATTGCATGGAATTGTACTGTATTGTATTGTATTGTGTTGATATGTATGTATGTATGTATGTATGTATGTATGTATGTATGTATGTATGTATGTATGTATGTATGTATGTAATGTATGTATGTATGTATGTATGTATGTATGTATGTATGTATGTATGTATGTATGTATGTATGTATGTATGTATGTATGTATGTATGTATGTATGTATGTATGTATGTATGTATGTATGTATGTATGTATGTATGTATGTATGTATGTATGTATGTATGTATGTATGTATGTATGTATGTATGTATGTATGTATGTATGTATGTATGTATGTATGTATGTATGTATGTATGTATGTATGTATGTATGTATGTATGTATGTATGTATGTATGTATGTATGTATGTATGTATGTATGTATGTATGTATGTATGTATGTATGTATGTATGTATGTATGTATGTATGTATGTATGTATGTATGTATGTATGTATGTATGTATGTATGTATGTATGTATGTATGTATGTATGTATGTATGTATGTATGTATGTATGTATGTATGTATGTATGTATGTATGTATGTATGTATGTATGTATGTATGTATGTATGTATGTATGTATGTATGTATGTATGTATGTATGTATGTATGTATGTATGTATGTATGTATGTATGTATGTAATGTATGTATGTATGTATGTATGTAAAAGAATGTATGTAATGTAATGTATGTAAAGTAATGTACGTGTGTACTACATTATATTTGTTGCCCTCTTGAGATTCGATCTATGATACGTACGTATATACATGTATACACGGTGAGTAATTCTGTATGAATGACAACACATGTACATGCCTACCTACATACCTACCTGCCTGCCTGCCTGCCTACCTACCTACCTCCCTACCTAACAGGCAGAGACACACAGACAGGCAGACAGACAAAAAGATAGAGACACAACTATACGCACGGACAAACACGCAGATACAAACATATGTAGATATATACATATATGTATATATATATATATATATGTAGATATACAAGCATATACGTTACATTGCATGATTACATCAGATTGCGTTGGATTGGCTTTCCGGAGATTCCGGACCGAAAAAACTCTTTGCCAAGACACGTACTTCCAAATCTGCCTCTCCTGTGGGGTGCGGGGCACCTGCGGCATTGCGAAAAAGGACTGTCACAACGGCTGCGAGAATGCTGTCGCATCTGCGCGCGAGATCAGCGCTCTAGAATGCCAGGGCTTAGAGCCGTGAGTTCCTAACCCAGGTGGTTGACCAAAGATAGAGGCCACTGGCGGCATCCGATCTGCAAGGATGTGATTGAGCTTAGGAGTTGACACTCCCACTCATGACATGGTTGCTGTAGATTCCCCAGCAAAAAGTTAAACTTGTTGCTGGTTAAAAATGAAAAATGAGGGGAATCCAAAGAGTGATGGAACTCGGGCAAGTGCCATGTGCAGCACCCAAAGGGCCTCCTCCAAGACATCAGCGACCGTCATCTCTGATGCCTGAGCCTGCAGCTTTGGCACGGAGACACCCAAAGCCTTGAGAACACCCAAGGCCCTCTGCCAATTCGTATGGGTTTTTCATTCCCAAAGGAGAACCCCTGGGTTTAAGTCTAACTTGTAGCAAGTGGAACCCTGTTCGTTTGGCTTGTCCCGGGCCTTTGTGATCCGGCCGCTGAACTGGTTGATGCACAGCGACTGCCACTCGAAGACGCCCACCAGCGTGCCAAGCGCAGGCCTATGCAACCACTGCTTCATGCACCCTCCTTTGCAGAATCGGTGCACGTGATTTTACCTGTGCTCCGAAATTCATGGTCTGGCACACTTAGACACCAGCAGTCGAGCACTTCTCTAGATTGGCTGTTTATGGTACGCGTTTGCATGCTGCGCCTGATGCTTGTTGTGCTGTGTCAGCTTTGTCACATGGCACGACCACTCAGGACGTGAGCTCAAGCCAAGCAGCAGGATGTTGATGAGGGGATTCTGGAGCACTGTGCAAAGCACCGGCAAATCTTCCTTCGCGTTGTTCTCCATGCCGATCCTGGGCCGGCCAGCCGGTGCTCTGAGCCCTACGCCCTCCGCAACAAAGGGCGAGGCAGGCGATTTTGTGAGTGTCCATTTGCAACATGTTAGAAGCGTTCTTGCACGAGTCGAGCTTGCATGCCTGCTCTCAGCCGTAGCAGGTCGCGCTCTTGGAGCGTCACACACGAGAAGAGTTGGAAGAAGACCAACTTGATCACTGAAGCACTAAATGTCTTCGTTCCCAGCTCAGAAAACGTTCTCGTTGCTTTCGCCCCAGTCGAGCAAAACCGAAGAAACGTCGTGCTTCGATCAGGTTGGTCTTCTATGGACACTTGGATCTGATTTGTCCGAGCCCAATCAAGAACTGTGGGAAGCTTATAAGCTGCATAAATGTCAATGTCCACTAAGCAAAAGAAATGCAAATGTTTTCTGTCAGTGGCACGAGAACGAAGAAACGTAGTGATTGCGCTGTCAGGTTGGCTTTCTTTCGCGCGCTCACAAGCCATGAATGACTCTTTGTACCTCAGAGGAACTCTGATTTTCTTGCGGCTGGCACTTTGCAGGAGCAGATTGCGCGGTGCGATTCTTGGCAAATGTATGATTGAGGCTATCCCAGTGGCATTCCTGCCTAGTGGAGCAAATCGCAGCAGTTCGATTTGGACACGTCCCATAGTCAAGGTAGGGAGAGACTCAGCAGCGGGCGCTATCCCTTGTTGGGTGTCACATGACAGAGGCTTGCGCTCCACTGCTCATTTCAGCCTTCATCTTCTCAGAATCACCAAAACCAAACATCCTAGTGGTTGAATTCCAGCATGGCCGGTGTGGTTCTCAGACTCACTCACCAAACTTCCGCTCTTCGCACCAAACCCCCTCCCCCCATGGGCTCCCCCCCCGCTCGAATTTCGCCTGCGCGACATGGGCTCCGGGGCGCTTGTTGTGGAGCGCGTCCAGCGTCACCGCGGAGCGGTAGGCCCAGAGCTGCGGCATCTCCGCCTCCCGCTTCTCCGCCGGGAAGTCCTTCACCTCGATGGATCGGCACCACGGGCGGGCGCCACAGGCGGAAAAAAAACAAAGGTGTAGTCTCCCCTTTTTCAAAAATGGGTAGTTTCCGTTTGGTGTTTCCTTTACCAGCCAAAACGGGAATGTAGTCTCCCCTTTTTGGGGGAACATGGGGAACCCAACAAAAACTTGTAGTTTCCTTTTGGTTTCCCTTTGCCAACCAAAAAGGGAACCCTCAGAAAAGACACACTCAGGTGCGATGTGGAGTGGGTCGATTCGGGGATCGTGTTGCTGCCCTCTCCCTTCTCCCAATGGAAGCGGGCGACAGGTGTCATCAGCTTACGCCCGAAGGGTCACCAGTGACAGGCTCACAATCATTCACCAGCACAGGAAGTGACCAGGGAGCAAAGAAAACTCGCCCAACCTTCTAGGCTCTTCAAAATTCCGCCCAATCACTCAATCACAATCCGTAGTCTGCTTAATCATTGTTCTAGTTGGTAATCTTCTTGATCCGTCAAGCTGGAGAAACGCAAATCCGGGATTAGCTTTTGAACAAGCTACCCGCCCATCCACTATCATGGAACCCACCAGCAGGGGTCTCTTTCAGACGAAAACAGTCTTCCAGGACCCCGAAACGTCCGGTTCCACGTGAGCGGATGGGAGGAGAGAAAGCTCAAAAACCCCAGCTGGACCTGGCTCGAAGCCCACCTGGGCCTGGCTCGAAACCACCCCCCTCGCCTTGGCCCTTAGGCCCTGAGGCCCTTAGCCAAACCCAGCCGTTTTTCCCCTCAAAATCCTCTGGGCCGCCGCGCGTCCGCGGCCTCCTTGAGTTCGGCCACGAACTTCCCGTCCTCCTGGTCACCGCCCCAGCGCTTGTAGAGCTCCTCCGACGCTGGCTGTGGGTGGTGGTGGACGGCCGAAAATCCCCCGCGCCAACCACCCCATCCGGTTGGAAAAAAGTTGAACCGCGGCCCAATCTGGGCGGAAAGCACGGAAAATGAGAGCTCCGGCGACACTACTGAAGGGAATTGCGGAGGATGCACATCCTGCAGTGTCTTACTTGCAAAGCAGGAGATCTTGTGTCATCCAACCATGCCAGTGGTGAGTGGCGTCACCTTTCCACATCAGCATGTCATCCTCCCGCCTGCAAAGAATCATCCAGGTTCTTGATCAGGCTCTTGAGGTATTTTGACTCGATCGTCTCTTCCCAAGCATTTCCTCGGTGCAACATTCAAACTATCCTACTCAGCCACACTCGTCGAGTGTGACTGTGCTGAGCCGAGCTAATTTCCTCCGGGCATCAGGAAAATCCTGTGTTCAGGACAAAGACATGACAACGTTTTGACCACCCACCACGCAGGTGAGGCCTTGTAACAACCTTCCAAAAAACATACTCAACTCGAGCAATAGCCTTCCACCAACCCCGAATTACGCACAGTCCCAACCCCCCCTTTTCCGGAACCCCTGTTCCCTCACACAGCTGCCGCAACTCGAATCCCAACCATGCCAGCCCATGCATCAACCCCATGCGAAAACGAGCCCATGCGGAGCCCATGCCGAGGCGAAAAAACGAGCCGCGGAGAAAAATAAATAAATAAAAATGCCGAGGGGCGCTTCTGCAAGGTCAGCACCGCCCAGTTGGGCGCGGTGCCGCTCTGGTCCATCGGCTTCAGCGGCTCGTCCCGGGCCTCCTCGCCTGGGTTTGGTTCACCAAAAATTCGGGCGGCAGCTGAAAAAAACATCCGGTGGAAGGCCCCTGGTTTTGACCAGGGATAGAACTTTGCCATGTGGTGAGCAAAAGTCGTATCTTTCTTTGGCGGTTTCCCGAATGGTCACCCCATGTATTGCGGACCTTTTGATCAACACCCATTTGGCGAATTTGACGGCCAGGAGAGAATTCTGGCGATAGAAAGTACTCTTCAGAAGCCAAACACCCTAGCCAGTCGCCTTGACCTACAAGAGGCCTCTGCAAAGGTCACCGCGTTTTGGGGAAACGACCCAACAAGTAGGCAATATATGCCTATGAAACCTAACAGGGAACCACCCGTCAAGTGGTTGGTGGACATGAATCCCCACCAAAATGATGTCCACCAAAGGCATATGCCCAAAAACTTCAGGTCTGCACAGCAAAAGCGTCCAATCCCGCCATGCCAGTGGTCCAAGTGCCCCACGAGGTACAGAGGTACGGGCATGCAGCCGGGCGACTCATCTTCAGGAGCAGGTTGTGAAGGCCGACCGCCAAATCCTGCATGTCTTGCCAGTGACACAGTGGCCATTTCAAATCAGCTAGTCACAAACTTGCTGGTGCGAGAAGTAGGGAACGGGGCAATGAACCCAGGGGTCCGCTTAAGGGAAACCACAAGGGATGGTTCATAGGGGTCATTCCCTGCTGAGCCCCAGCAAGCAAAGAACCCTGTGCACGCCATGTAACTTCTAGAACAAAATCACTGTGCCAAAGTCCAGTACCAAATTGAAAGCTGGTCCCAACTCTTGCCTGCTCTGATCTGATGCATGTTTGATGCATCCCACTCAAAGACATGGAACACCCGCCATTCCCCGCCTCAGTGTTGCTGCTGAGAATTTCCACCATGGACTTCCAGTCGTTGCTGAAATGCTGAGCGATGAATTCAGCCTCTGAAAGCTGCGGCAGCTGGCCTTGCTCGAGCGCATGGATAGCGAGTGGCTCGGGCTGTGGGGTGCTGCGCTTGAACATCAACAGCAGACTTAGGCGTCGTCTGTTTTAGCACCCCCCCTTCCCTCCCTTCGCGAACAATGCTCGATGCAAGTGCAGCTGCGGCGCACATGGACTCTTGATTCACAATCTTGTCGAAGACACGGGGCATTGCATCCGACCTGGGCTGGGTTCAGTCTCTTGTCGCTCGGGGCTAATTAATCCACTTCCTTTGGACCACTGGCTCAGTTGCGCCGAGCCACGCAGATGACATGACACTCAGGAACATGGTCCCGTGCAGAATCAGGCGGATGGCACGGGCAGAACTGCTCTGGACCTGGCGCGGAACTTCGTCGCATACTTCGAAGCACAAAGAGCGCCATGGGTGACTGGCATGCCGCGAAGGTACACCCAAGCCCAGTCCAAGTTGGCCTTCACTGGGTGTGTTCGACGCCACTCAGACTTGTATAACAGTAGGCTCCGGGTTGACCGCTTGAAGACTTTTGGGGTGGCGTGCAGGTGTGACGATCACATCCCGAAGCAGCGAAATCACGCGCCTCTCTGAAGGAGACGTGCTTCTCATCCTTCTCAGCCTTTGGAAGCATGTAGCCCCATGGGGAACGGTCCTGAGATGGCAAATGCGAGCTTGCCGCATGGGGATGGCGTCCGACCACCTCCGTCCGACCAGCAAGAACCAGACGCAAGAATGATGGGTGCGGAGGAAGCATCGCTCTCGTCATCTTCAAAAGTGTGCTCGGTCTTGTTGTGGTCCCGGCCACCAATTTGCAAGCTGCAGCCGGGGCACTTTGCCACTTCCTCGAATGCTCGATGAAGCCAAACGATGAGCCAAACTTGACTTTCGGAAGTTTCTCTTTGTCCAGTCTCCAAGTCATGAATCTACGATCAGAACGCGGATAGAATCGAAACTGGGGAGCAACAATTCAGGCTTTCCAGCCGCCAGTGCAGTCAAGCGCGACTTTCCGAACAAGCCGTGAAGAAATTGACCACTCGGCTCTCAGCTGAGCCCTCTGCCATTGGCCGTCCGCACTCACCTAGGCATTGCCATCAGCAGTCAGTGCCCAATGCTCAAACCGAAGGAAACGCGTGCAGTCAGTCGGCAGCTCGTTTGACATTTTTGTCACGTGCGGTTCGGCATGAAAAGTATCGGCTGCAGGTGCCGACGGCTACCGGGCCCGTGCCGGTTCAACAGGCAAGCCGCATGGATTCTGTTCTTTGCCTGGCCCTTCCCAACAAAAGGAACGCCAGCAACTGGCCAAACTTCATCCAAGCGGCCGATGAAGAAAGTGAAGCCGCAGGTGCATTTGTACCAGTGGCTCTTGAACTTCCAAATGTTCTCGCCCTTCTCCACCAAGGCCTTCAAGACCCGACTCCTCACAAAGCCAGGGAGAAGTGACTTCTCTTACGCGCATCTGAAATTGGCTCTGACAAAACATGCCATTCAGCAAAAGCAGAAGTAAGCCTCCATGAGGCGCTGAGGCTGACTTTGCACAAATTGCGAAGCTGTAGGTGGCAACAAGGGGGGAATGAAGCCGTCAATACTGTCCCGCGGCGACGAGAATCTTCTGGTTCTGGTCGCTACGAGCGTCCCACTCTCTTGTGCAAAGTCAGAGCATCTCGACTCTAAGTACTTTGGTGACAAAAGCCTCCAAGTTTCTGCGCTGAGCGCACCAGCACGCCGCGCAGTTCAAGAGGTGCTACGTTGCCAAGGACCAAGGGGAAAGCCAAAATTCAGCGAGCCAAGGCAAGGCCAACTTCGGACGGGCTGGACTCCATGGTTGGCAGGCCAATCAAAGCACAAGCAAAGCCATCAAACAAAGAGAGGCCTCACGGACAAATGCTCCTGATGTCTTCGTCCATGGCCGGGAGGAAAGGTGGTGCTCCCTCAGTAAGAGATTGTGGCTCCTGGGCAGGTTCGGGTAAAGACCAGTACCCTGATCCGCCTGATGGGCAGGTGGGGGGGGCAGGTGTGACCTATTGGCCATGGCCTTTTGGGAATTCCTGATCCAGTCTCTGGAGACATCGATTCGACTTTCTACACTTTTCCCACATGGGTATGGGTCAAAACGAGTCACCAGGAATTTGACCGCAGGTCTTCGTCTTGCCCGTTTTGCAGGGCAACCCCACTTTGGGGTTACCCGACTCTTGACCCACTGTTCCCCCAGCGTCCAGCATGATCACTCGCAGCGAGTGCAGCAGCGATGTCTCAGGCGCACTGATGAGCACGGCCGCCAGGTGCCCCAGCACGCGCCACCTGAAATTCCAACGGCTCCGGGGGGTTCGATTTCCCCTCTCTCCCGGCAGGAAACCGACCTTTTATGCATGAAGCTCAATCCAGAACCCTGAGAATGTGGGCATTTCAAGGAAAAGGTGAAGAACCAGAATGGGAAGCTCAATCCGGAACCCTGCGAAAGATGAAGCCGCCAGGTGAAGCTGCCCTTGGCAACCACGACGAGTTGAAGTACATGACAGAGTGGGGTTGGCCAGAGATGCAACATCGTCAAAACTGAGGCAACGAGGCAACACGCCTTTCAGGGACCCTTCGGATGCTCGACTGGCACGGAGCGCCCACGGCCTCCAGCTTTGGCAAGTTTATCAGTCGCGCTTTGTAATTCTGTGCTTCGGCATTGCAAGCCAGGAGGCATCGAACCCTTCAAAAGGGGTACCCACGCCCTGGGTCTATTTCTAGATTTGCCACACATTACATTTTTGGGAGGGTTTCGACCATGCATCCAGATACTCCAGCCCAGTCACCGCGGCAGATTCCAATGAACCTGTTTGCAGGAGGTTGTCACTTCTTATTTTTGCAAGGAGGCAAATGACCCAGCACAAAGACCCCGTCTCTGTGTCGATGTTGTTTGATTGACGTGTGTGTGTGTGTGGGCGAGTGGGTGGGTGGAAAGCCACCATTGTGGAGTCCCCCAGTTCTGATGCCTACCTACATAAGACTCTGCCTCAGGCCCAATCGAACGCAGTGGAGTCGCCCAAGGCCCGGGGTGTGGGTTGGGGGACGCCGGCTTCACAGCGTTGCTGTGTGTGCAGGATCTAGCCTGTTGTCGCGCATGGTCCCATGAGTTTTTTCTGGTGGGCGGGGTTGAACAGACCAACGCCAGAAGTTGTCAATCAGGGTCTGAGATAGAGGCAGCACAAACAGGGCAGCAGCAAGCAGGCCCGAAGGCGTTTGCAGGCAACCTTCAGGATTGGCACAAACCATCAACTGGGCACGGGCAAATAATTTGTGCCTTGTGGCAGCTTGAAAGGTCTGGAGCAAGCACGTGCCGTCACAGAAAGGGGAAGTTTGCCTGTTTAGTTGGTTTGGAACAGCCACTGGCATAGCATGAAATCAGAGCATTTTGAGGGCCAGTCCTGTGAAAAGCTCAGCCCTTCAACAGACTGGCAGAATCGCTTCTGCATGGGACGGCACGGAGCCACCGGGCCTTGACCGTTGACCCCGTCTTTCCGACGTCCCGACCCCGACTCCGCGCCTCAAGAGGTCATCCATCTTGCGGCCACCATAGGTGACGAAGGTGTCCAGGAACTTCCTCGGAATCGGATCAAAGGCGACGAAAGGAGCCGAGGGCCCATCTGGGAACACGCTGGAAATCCAGAAAACCGCCTTGTGGGAAATCAAAACCTGCAAAGTTCACCAAATCAATAACCGGAAGAAGCAACTTGCCGAACCAGGCAAACAGAAGGCCAAGTCAACTGTACTTGCCCGGCCACAACTGACTTTGTCTTTTCAACCCCGAGCAAAAAGGCCGCAACAAACTCTCAAAGAGCATTCAACTGGCAAGATCCAAACTCGCCCGAGGTTCAATGCCTTGGCCGCTCAGTTCTTGGGCCTTGCTCCCAACAAGGCCGAGCGTCCTTGCCTCTTCTGGCAGCCCTTGAATCGGTGCATCATCCCCTGAGAAGACCCGCAGCAGCGTGCGCTCCTGACGTAGCGTGTGCTTGCAACAAAGCTGCATCTGATGTCATTTCCCTGACTAGGTTTTGCAAATGTCCACATCGCACTTCCAACTCGAGACTATGGCGCCAGTCTGGTAATGCTACTTCTTTGTGTATGCTGCAGCCCGCCTTGTCGTTGACTTTGAGGTCCTTGCTTGTTGCCAGCCACTCAGAGAGCAGCGGCCGCCAGGGCGGGCGATGGTTTGGCTCCTCCCGCGGAAGGGGAATTTGCCCGGGAATGCATGCGCAGGGCCCAATCTTCTCCGAGGCTGCAGCTCAAGCGTGTCAAGTCTCACATCTCCATCAAACTGCACGAACGCATGTTTACAAGAAAGACTCGGCTGTTATGCCCATCTAGCATGCCCATTTGGCTGTGGGTCACAAATAGGTATCTCAAATGGAACCCTAGTAAGTGGAACCAAGGACCAAAACCTGCGGTTCTGAGGTGGTCTAATTTTGACCCATGCCCCAATTGAAGCCCTTGCGAGGGATTCTTGCCCTTTCCTCGAGGGCGGCGCACAGGCCGGGCTCTTGGCAGACTGCCAACAGGAGGCCTGGTGCAAAACGCGGCGCCGTTGAGACCGATGGTGGCTTCATGGTTCATTCCAAACACTGCGAACGAGCAACAAGATTGACAAACTCAGCGTGCTAGGAAGCGAAGGGAATATGATACGCAACATAAGTCGCGTATTCTACCATAGTACAAATGCGGCTTTCATACATGAACCCCTTCAAAATCACTGAAAAGGAATGGCACAGCCATATATCAGGATTCTTTACTATCCGACATTGTGAGTCTTGACAAATGGGCCCCGTGTCCATCCTTGCAATCTGTTCACAGCGATGAGTTTAACAGTTGCTCACAAGACTCCCTGCAAGCTCCTTTAGCAGCTGAACGCAGGGGACACAAGCGAATCACTCCAACTGGCAAACGGAACTCTGCACTTAGCTTGCATCTTTGCAGCTGTCGGCCTCAACGGCAGGGTCAGAATACAACGCCCCTAGTTCTGCGGAATACCAAAGTGTTCTTGCCAACGACTCGCGAAGGATCTGGCCGTGCCTGCCACATGTCGCCTGCGCCGTTCCTCTGTCATGCGGCCGAAGTCTTGCCTTACATGCGGCTCTGTCGACTGCACGCGGCCCAACAAAATGGTCACCTGGATGCCCAATTTCCCCAAATCTGCAAGGAGCTCGGCGATGTTCCGCGGACCACTCTGGTGCGGCTCCTGTGGGCCTTGCTTTCAAATGATTTTAATGGCTGTTTGCCAAGAATAAGACCCCATTTATTTGAGGCAACCGGGAACCCAGCGCTCAGAAACCCCGCCCAAAACATCGCAGGGTTTGTTTTGGGGGCGGGGGGGAACCAACATCATCCGAAGACTGGTTGTCGCATAGTTCCTAACAGTCCATCTCTCGGGGGGGCGGGTGGGTGCCGAGATGCGCAAACTTCGTGAGCTTCGCCGTGGAGGTGGTGGTCATCAGCTCCAGCACGGCCGCCATGGCCTCCCGGTACTCCGCCAGGTCCTGCGAAAAGGAAAGGTGTGGGTGGGGTGGGGTGGGGTGGGGTGGGGTGGGGTGGGGTGGGGTGGGGTGGGGTGGGGTGGGGTGGGGTGGGGTGGGGTGGGGTGGGGTGGGGTGGGGTGGGGTGGGGTGGGGTGGGGTGGGGTGGGGTGGGGTGGGTGGGGGTGGGGGTGAAGGAGCAATAATCAGGGAGAATGGTCTGATCGCATCTCACCATGGCCATGAATTTTAAGAGTTGGAACCACCTCCAAAGTGGTGAGCACAAATCCCAAAATGGTGTCCACGGATCCCTTGTTAGAATTCGCACCATGCACATGGCCTGTGTCTCCCCATTGAAGGGGTTCCACTTTGGCACCAGCGCCGCGCCGATGAACTTCTCAAAGTCAATGTCGTGCAAGTCCCGCCACTTCCTGGGGCCAAGCTGCAGGAAATCCAAACCAGGGTCTGTCTTTTTTTGAGGGCACCCTTCTCGGATGGTGTTAAAGGGAAAAAACAAGCCTATTTTGGTGCTCCCCCATTTTGAGACAAACCCACCAGTCGAAAGACATCCCCGTGCATCCCACCGACACCCCTCTGGCTGCGACGAAAACTGCGCTGTTCCTGAAGCAAGGACAAATTTATCAAATCATGCCTTTCCCAATTCCCCGAACTAAGCTCCCCTGCATTCAGGCAGAGCTGTCTCAAGGCTCATGACCACCAAAGCCTTCCTCCTCGTTTCTCCTCTTAGGACTGAGTTACAGGAGACGGTCACATCATCACTCGGAAGCGTGGGACCATTCACAAGAAGCTTGGCTCCTATAGATTCCAGGGACAAGTTTTAAACGACGATGACCTTTGACAACTGGGCTGCCCTCAGATCCCCTGCTAGAAGTTTTAACTTTTAGTGGGTTAAATGGACACTACCACTAAACCCAAAAACGGCAAAAATAAAAATCAAAAAGGAACCGGATGGCTGGGAGCCACCAACATAAGCAAGAGGAGCATCTTCGTGGTTGGCTGTGGCGCAGAAACATGTACCAAAAATGGCAAATTGGTACATGGAACCAAAGACTGCAGCCTGCGAAGCCTTAGCTCTTTAATTTTCTGCCACACCCATTTGGCTTGGGGCAACCGAGTCTCTGCACCCAGCTGGTCTCCGCCAGCGGCTGCTCCGCCATGAGGGAGCGCACAAAGGACAGGCCCCGGGCGCGCTCCATGCACTTCCTGACGACTCCAACCTCCCCTCCCGCCCCTCCCAAACCCTAAAAATGGCCATGGGTCAAAACCATCCCAATCCCCACTAAAATAGGTTCTAAAATGGGTGGTGAATTCACCTATCCCATTGGTTTTGAACCATGGCCACAGTAAATGAGAACTGCTTGTCTTCCTTATCTTTGGACGCGTGACACTTCTGGTCCATGCGTTGGGCCTCCCTTGGCAGAAAAACGAACATAGTAGCCCTGGAAAGGAAACTGGACACTTGACCCATATGAAAGCAAGAAGCCAGTCCGGTGCCGCTTGGAGTGAGGCTGTATATGCGAAATTGAAGGCTTTGCAAAATGCCCCTGCTGTAGCAAAAGCACTCACTTGACATGCGGGCTGTTTGCCAGGCACTTGGCAGTGACTAGTGTACTTGCAAGTCCTCTGACCTGCATCCAACTCCCTATGCACTTGAGTAGCTTGGGTGACAGGCAAAGCTGATCTCATCCGAGTCACAGCAAGTACAAACGCATGGAGCGGCACACGGATGCCAGCTCGTGCTTGTCAGTCTGCAGAAGGTCGTGCACCTAGCACGGGTCAATCCAAGTCTTCGGTATGCTTGGACCCAGCACCGCTCATGCCGAAATCAATATCGAAAAGATCCGCTGCAGATAACAAAAGGAATGAACCAGCAAGGCGGGTGTGCTCACACGTCATTCAGAACTTGCGGTCTGACCAAAGCAAGCACCCGCGAACCAAGGCGAGAAGGCCAACGCACATTCGACAGACGTCTGACGTCCGACGGCAGGCGTCGGAGAAGCTCAAGCCATTGGCTTGAACCGGCCTTAGGCACGGCAAGGGCGTGCAAATCCTCGTCCACAGGGTCTTGGACCAGGATCTGACCGTACATGGACAGGATGCAGCCTTACCGATTCGGAACTCAGCAGATTCCGACCCCCAGCTCCTCTTGTTGTTTTGTTGGGCATAGATGACCAGAAGCAAAGTATCTGATTCATTTCACTATTTCAATTGGAGAGGATTGTAGGACAGTTTAGAGTGCTCGATGTAGCACAGTCAGGAAGGGTAACCTCCAATGTTGTAAGTTATCTTAAATAGTTGAATCATTCGTTCAACAAAAGAAATGAAGTTTTGGAGCCCTCTACCATGGAGTCCATATTCCTCGCTCAATGGCTACGAATTTGAGGGAACCAACAGTGCTTGGTGGACATAGATTCCCCACCTACCTGATGTCCAACGGGTCCCAGTCAAAACTAATGATGAAAAGAAGAACAGTCTGAGTCACTTGCTCAAAACCCGGCATTAAAATGGATCCAGAACCATGCTTTAAGAATTAAGGTCTGGGCGGCGAGGCAGCCATTTAGGGCAATCAGACTGTCCCGTGGGACCTTCATCAATCTCCGGGTTAAGACGTGCCAGTGGCTCCCAGTGAGTCATAGTCAAAACGTGGTAGTCAAATGGTCTACCCAGAACCATGTGAAGAATTAGGAAGTCGGCCGCAGCTACTCAGGGTTGGGATTGTCCCTAACCTTCATCATTTTTCGGGTTAAGACGTGGCCATGGGTCAAAACCCCGTACCCCCAGTGCACATCCCGATCCCCACTAAAATAGGCTCTAAAATGGGTCGTGCGCCGAAAACCCCAAAATGGGGTCGCATTGGTTTTGAACCATGGCCATGTGGCAGCTCCAAGTGCTGCGGAGCCGCGGCACTTGCCCACCAGCTGCAACATCTTCGCCGGCGTGGCCTTCACAGCCTGAGAGCGCGCGGGGGAACAAATATGCCTTTCTTCAGCTTGGTCGCATGAAACGCGGCACTCGGAAAAATACCCCTGGCTCAGTTTGACCGCACACGTTCAGTCGTACCCTGTTATGTTTCAGCTACGCATCATATGCATCCTAGCGCAAAGGTACCGTCCGCGTGAACGACGCTGGGCGAAACGCAAACGCCACCTGTGACTCCAACTTTCTCCTGGGTGGCAGGCGTGGGGAATTGGGCCAACAGTCGCTTGTGAGGCTGCAAATCGTGATCGTGATTGTCCAGTAGTTCACCGGGTTTCAATATATTGCGTTGAACACATACTGGAATTTGAAGGAAAACAAAGGCAGGACCCAAGCGCGAAAGCAAGCTGCACCTGTTTCAAGCACCCTTCTCGCACAGTTGTTCGTTGCTTACAGTGTAAGGCTTACACGTTGGCGGCAAGCTTTCCCAAGGCTTTCAGCACGCATTTACGAGGAAATGAGGGCGGAGCGAGGGTCTTCACCTGTGTGCACAAAGTTGTAAGTCTGTGCGCATGTCAAACAAATCCCCATCCAACACCCCCCCCTTCTCACCCCCCCCCCCCTACTGGGCTGGAAAACGTAAACATTTCCCCCCCCCCCCACCCCCCACCCCACCCCCCCTGTGTTCGATTTGTATGTTGATGTCCATGCGACCGTTTGGCTCAAGGATCTTTGATTGTCACTGTAAAAAACCATACACCTACAGGCCGAGAAAAGGGATTGCTTGCGGACCGCTTACAGGTTATACCCACAAGACAATCCTACCAAGGACTTCCGTATACACTCCATCCACTATTGACTTATTGGACCATCGTGTGGAATAGATCCAGGGACCTACAATAGACCATTACCACAAGGTACCTGTTCTCACGAGATAAGGTACCCCGGTTTCGGACTTCACCCCCCCCCCTCCACAGCGGCACACTGCTGAAACGTGCAAATTCGGTGCGGTCGCTAATGCGGACGATAGCGCAAACAAGGCAGAAATATAGCGGGAGGTGCACAACATGTGCTGCGAAAACACTATCAAGTTTACCTGGATCCGTGTCACAAGCATCCAAGTTATTCCCTAAATGACACGCATTCCGTCTATTGCATTGACACGTGTGCTTGCCCCGTGTGAAGCGAAGAAGGCTACACCACACTTGTGGCAGCCAAGGTTACGCTTGCTCTAGAGCGAATTGTGTTAATCCTTGAAGTTGGCGGTATGAGGAGATAATATAAAGGATATCTTGAACCGCAGACCGGCACAGAATTCCCCCCACACACCGCATTTTGCCCACAGCGTGACCGAAAATCACTTCCGTCTCTTTTTGCGGAACGGTCAGCCGAACGTCCGCGAACGTCAGCTCCCCATTGCTGCTCGAGGCGCTGGGGCAAACATGTCCTCCAGCTTCAGGCTCGGCCAATTCTGTGGCTCCTTCACAGAGCGCAATGAGTGGCCAATTCTCCCTTGACATTCCAGGTGAATGTCAAAACCAACAGCAAGCATGGTTTGAGACAGAAACGTGTGAAATTGGGTCAAACTGAGTTCTTTCCCGAAGAGGGCATGGGCAAAGTGTGTCCCTGGTCAGAGTTGCCCAACTACACCTTACAAATGGATATGGCACAAGGTACCGGTACCCAGCCCCACGAGCTGCCCTGTAGGCTGATCTGGCCAAACTGGCGCAGTTTTGGCACTCTGGGAGGAGGTCGATGTTAGGCTGGAATTTGGAGCAACCTAGAGCCAGAATGTGGGTTTGTTGTGACTAAAACCATTGAACAGTGCTTCACACAGGAGGGAGGCGACACTAAGCGGCAGCCTTCAATTTTGATGGCCTTCATACCTGAGAAGGGGCAACCAATTTTGCGCAAGGACCGAAAAGAAACTCTGTGGACAGCAGTGGTAATAAAATGTGTCCACAGAAAATATCCGTCATGGGGTTGCTTTGGTTCTTCAGGGAAGAGGATGATGTTCCCGAGAAACAAGCCGCTCGCAGATCTTGAGATTGACGCGGCACAAAGCTGCCAAAAACAACTCTGCACGCCCAAAAGGTAGCTGATCTTCTGCTAGCAGCTTCTGTTTTGTTGCATGTGCCGCACCATTCACAAATTCCAAAAGCCGCCTAACGGCTCATAATGGCGCATTGGGGGCCCACATCTTTGTCCCATTCCCCGGGGAGGTCCTGCCAACTGCACTTTCCATGGTCTGCCTCCTTGTCTTCCTCCTGCAAGATGGCATAGCGCGTGGCAAAGAGGGTGTCATTGTGCTTCCTCAGCTCAGTTCAGCTGGGCTAGCACCCACATTGGGTCCAGCTGGGAACTGATTGCTAATGACAGCGGGTGATAGGAAAGAAGGCCTGGCTTTCAGACTGATCTCAAGCAGGACAGGCGGCTCATGCTCGGCAACTACCTTCAGCAACTCTTCGATGTGCTTGGTGGCATCTGCCTGCACGCCAGATGCACATCCGGGTTTCAATGTGATAGTTCCAAATGAGTGAATGCTGAAGGCTCGCGAAACCGAAAGAAAGAAGAAAGAAACCTGTCTGCGGATCTACCGTCAGCTCAAGCCCACGGAGACACAAATCACCCGGCTCTGTGCGGTCGCCCGCCTTGGCTTGGCCGCTGGAGGATACGATGAGCTTCCGCAGCAGCGCCAGGTTCAGGCCTCAAACAAACGCAGTCAGGAGCGGTAGATCGCAGATCTTGGCATCTTGGCCTGGCTTCTTGGTGGCTTCTTTGTGGCTTCTTTGTGGCTCATGTTGACATCTTGCCGTGGCTTCTTGTTCGTGTGTTGTCTTCCAGGTACCGTTTCACCATATTCTTCAGGATCACGCGAAGGCTGAAAGCTGCAGCCATGCCACAGCTGGAGCGGGGTACGTACATGCCCTCCGCGAGCTGTGCAATGCCTGGCTCGGGGGTTGCCCAGTCCCAGCAAAAGCTGGCAGGAGGTTCACTGGGAGGTTCACCTTTTTTGACCGGGAGGCCCCAAAAAAATGAACCTCCTTGACCTGGCAACGAACATCTGCCGGCTTCTGGCGGCGTTTCTCTTCCGGACTTCCTTACGTCTGGAGAAACGCGCCTGAGTCCTTGTTCTCGCTCCAGTCTTGCAGGCTGCCCGCCGCAATGCCACTCACCGCCTGCGCCCGCAAGGTGGGCAGTCCTGGCCGTGCGGTAAGGCACGGGGTGCGGGTCTCGGTAAGGCAGACATGGGCCGTGCCTCAGCGGCCATCAAGTGAGCCCCGTGGAAAGATCAGCTTTGGAGAAGCGAGTTTTTCTCCAGGACAGGAAAAAATGGATGAGAATTAGAGGGTCTTGCACCGCAAGAGGTTGGGGCTGCACCTGGACAACACAACACCGTTCTGCAAGTTGGGACAAGTCATTGTGCATTGGCCAAATATTGACTCGCCCGCTGGCCGATAGCTCTGCTTCGCTTACACCCGGCAATTGGTCTCTCTTTCTCTTCGCTTTCTCTTTCTCGCTCTCTCTCCCCCTCTCTCTGCTTTGTTGGAACTGCAAGCAGGGCGTCCCTACAGCACTGATACAATGCCGTTGTCACAGCAACTTCCTGCGCTATGCAGGCGAATGGAAGGTATCAATCGGTCCCCAACTGAAAACGCCTGTAGCTTCCTCTGGCCGCCAGCCTGCTGCCACACTGCAGACCAACCGAAGGCTTGTCGGCTCGAGGTCATTCATGGCCTTGAAGGCTGGGCCAGCGGCACAACAGCAAAGCAAAGGCGAAAGTGCTGATCCCCAAGGCTCCAAAGCTCAGGATCCCTCCCATCCAAATGAGTGAGGACTCCACCGCTCGATCCGCGCGCGTCTCACGTCTATCGGGAAAGCCTCCTTCAGCCCTTCAGCCCTTGGCCTCCGCGTCCCGGAGGCAGACGTCCAGGAACCAGCTCTCGATAAAGGAGCCTACGGCCGCAGAAACGGAAGCCGTGGGCAGGGCGGCCTTCTGGTCTTTTTTGCGGCCTTCGACGCCCCTTCTTCTGCCTTCAACCTTCACACTTGCCAGGTGTTGTTGAAGCGGCTTCGAGCAACAGCTCACAGCAACTCTCAAGAAGGCCGTCTACAAATCCCGAACACCTCGAGGAAAACCAAACCAAACAGGCTTCTGGGAAGCCTGCTTCACAATTTTGAGCAACCACCAAAAGCCGTCCGCTTCAAACAAATGGAAAGGAGAACAACACTCTGAGGGAAATGCTTTGGCATGCTCCATATATTGTGTCTGGGGGATGGTGTTTTTGTTGCTTTTGCTTTGTGTACACAATATACGATTCAAACAATAGTTCTGCATCAAACACGGAAAGCAGAGCACCATGTCTATCCAACGTAGGCAGATTAAAAAGTGCACTGCTCTAAACAGACCACTTTGTGATATATCACGTCCGTTCCATCCACCCCAAAGCCCTTTGAACACAAGATCTGCAGCATATGCAGCTGCCGCCCCCTTCTTCGTGCGGCTTTTACGGCTTTGGGCTCAAACCAGATCAGGCAAACACTGATGGCGCAAGCGTATACAATTTTGCATGGCCCAGACTTCATCCGCAAGCGAAAAAATGCGTAAAGCCTGTTGGGCGGCGGCTTTCTAAGGATCTGCAAAGGCACCCACTCGCCCCTTTCTCTTGCTTCAGAGCACTCATGTCTAAAAAATATTTCAGGCCTCACAAATGTAGTGAAACGTGTTGTTCCTTCAATGAACTGGTGTGGTGTGGAGGCCTGCATCATAACCATGTTCATTCAAAAGGAATACCTACATCTTTGGCAGAGTCTCGAGCCAGAACACCAAGCGCATGTTAGGTGACCATGAGGTACTACATGTCAGGTGAGATCGAGCGTGATGGTTGACATTTCATAGCACTCTGAGAAGCAAATGATGGGTGGTAGATGCTCATGTTAAGTCCCAGGGCAATGGTTGCTGCATGGTGCTTCAATGATACAAACTTCTCGTCCAACGCTGAGTCCATCAAACGACGCTTGGCTTCCAGCCTTTCGCGCATACACTTGCGGCCCTTTGATAAAGGATTAGAAAGTTAGAAGCCATGATGCAGCTAACGGCACTAGCACCACTATCACGATTTCAGGTCATTGAGCCAGAGGCACTAAGGGTGGTCAGCGCTTTGGCGTGCATGTTCTGCTTGACCACTTCCTCGCGCATCACACGCGAGCATGGAGCGCATGAGAGAGGCAGAAATAGCCTCTGGCTGAAATCGGCAGTTGCGCCACGAGAGAACGCTCCGGCCTGTCCAAAGTTGAGCATCGCCAGCAAGGTGCCGGAGTAGCGAATTTTGTCCTGAAGCGATCCAGACTTGAGGGGTGCCACGGTGGGTTTTGCTTGAAACTTAGATGTGACACAATGCCGGGTTTCTCATTGCGGGGAGGGACCCGACCGGTTCAGTCGCCTGTCCTTGGGAAGATCCACGGCGAACTTCTTCACCACCTGGCCAGGACCGAGATTGGGGCTTCCATACAAATGCGGAGACCCAGTTGGCAGCACTCACTGAAACAAACAGCTGTCTCTGGATTCCATGCAGAAATCCTGATAAGCATCTACTGGACAACCGTGCTTCTACCGCACACTAGAGGTGGGAAACTTGGGGCATCACCCACCTTGCTGAAACAACTGACACCAACTGAGCTCAACCCTAGATTCCTCACCGCTGGCCAATTTTGCTCAAGTGCTTCACTTTGCCTCGGGCGAAAGCTCCAAAGGATAGGCCACATGCTGCAGGACCAAGGCCAGGCTTTCCTGGGCCGGCTTTCTGCACGTCCCGTGTGTCTGTCTTAGGTTGGAGCCCCCAAAATGGCTTCGGTTTCCCTTTAGTTTCCCAACCCGCAAAAAAGGACAAATCCCACACTCCGAATCTGCAACCTCTCCCTTTTGCCGCTCAACTTTCTGACTTACTGTGCTTCGCGCTGAACTTCCCAGTCAGGTGGCGATGCGGGGCTCGGTGTTGGACTTCAACTTGGCAATCTTCCTCAGATCATTCAATGGAAGGTGAAGCGACGTTCACTCAAACATGGATGAATACCCAAGAAAATTGGCCCGGCCAAGCAACCCGCACAAAAAAACAAAGGCTAGAAACGCCAACAGGTGGGGCGGAACACTTACGACAGTTCTGACCAATGACGCCTGTGTCACAAAGTGTTTGTCTAAACGAGGTGCGCTGGATCCACGCCCTGGTGGCCAGAGAGAAGCTTGTCCTGACGAGGTCGGGATGGGAATACTGAGCTGGCCTCAGATCCTCTGCAAAAAGATTAAGTTTTAGTGGGTTAAATTCGGAAACTACCACTAAACCCAACAAAGCTAAAAAGCTAAGGAACCGGATGGCTGGGAGCCACCTAGTTGAAGATTGGCATCTGACCACTCACAGTGGGGGAACACAAGACTAAGATCCTAGCTCGTCTATGAAGAATTGAAAAACACCGTAAATCTGCCCGCACTGTCTTGATTGCTAGCCTCCTTGCTCACGCAAGTGACTTAAAGACTCGCTAGCTGGGCAAGCGGAACCACCTCGCTACGGAGTGTTGGCCTCAAACAAATGCCTCGCTAAACGGTGTTTCAGCTTGTTTGTTGACTTTCAAGCTTGTGTGTGTGTGTGCGCGCTACTGGTCCTTCTGACCCAGCAAAACAATCGATTGCTCATGGCTTTGTTGGTATGTGGGTTTTGAACTCATCACACAGCTCATTTCCCCCGTAGCTGCTGGCAGTCTCCATACTGCCAAGTGTTCGTCTTTAGCCTCTGAGCTGAGTTGGAGCTGCCTCGCCCCACGGCGCTAACTTGCGGCTAACTGCAGATTGCCGGTTGACGCAAACAGCGTTTGCATACTTGGTCGCGACGTCGCTTGTGGTTCCATTGCGGCTCTTGCGACGAGGAATCGTGCCCTGGAATGTGCCATCTCTGTCAATCGCACGAACAGGTCTATTGGCTGTCTCCATTGAAAGGCTGCGCTGCTTTCTTCTCAATGACGAGTCATGGAGCTTGGTATCCTTGCGAACAAAAGCTACCGAGATGGGGCCAGAGAAACAAACCCGTGAACCAAGCCGTGAAATGAGCAATCAATCCTGCGCATTTGTGGAATGCCCACCCACTGAAAATGGAACCTGAGGCCTAACGAGAAGATGATTTCTGAAAGCACGCCTCATATTCCTTTGAACTCTGTCAGGATCCGTGAAGTGTAGGCAAGCATCTGAATGTCCTATCTTGGTTGCAAGAATCAACCCGCCATGTTTAGCAAGCACCATACTTCTCCGGACTTGCAAGAAGCCTGAACTAATTGCTTGTTCCTACTTGCAACCACAACAGTGCCAAGGCCACTTGTCAGCCCTTGCCACTTGCCTGCGCTGTCAGCTCACATCCCCTGCCAAAAGTTGACCGTTTGTCACATTCGGAAACTACCACTGAACCCAACAAAGCTAAAAAGCTAAGGGACCGGATGTCCGGGAGCCACCAAGTTGAACATTCGCATCTGGAAGGAACCCACAAGAACCAAAACGCTAAGGACCTGGATGGCTGGGCCGCGAGCCAGGCCTTGGTGAGCCCAGCGACCACCAGCTTCCGCATGAGCCACTCCCGGTAGAGGTCCTGGTGCTGCGCCTCGGACGGCAACAGAACAAAAGGCATGGAAACCTCACAGCAGATCGGTGAGACCCGTGAGACCTGTGAGACCTGAGAGAGAGAGAGGGAGAGAGACAAAAAAAAGGAGGGACCAGATTCCCGTTGTTGCTTTTACTTGTATGTGGGTTGCATGCACCCGGTAGCATCAGGTATCGCGGCTCAGGAAGCCTTCTGCCCGCCGCCTGTCAAGCTCATACTCTCCCAACAAGGTCTGTCAGGTTCCCAATGTGCCGGAAATCTACTAGCAGCAGCTCTCAATGAGGCCAACTCTGCAGAAAAAGAGGTCTCACACCCTCTCTTGTCTTGTTTGCAATTGGAGCCCCCCTCCCAAAATCTCCCAAACGCGCCACCGGACAGACGAGCAAAGACGGCGAGGCTGTCGCGTTTCGGCTGAGCGGCACAGGGCATCTGCGACAGCTCACAGAGCTCCTCTGCCAGCGTCTGGTGCACCAGCAGGAGCCTCAGCCAATGGCATCTCTCTCCCTCCAAAAGCATAGTTAATGGTGCTCAGCAGGAAAGTCGGAATGTAGGGAAAGTAGGGAAGAATTCATGGTGCACCATCCTAAGGGGATGGAAAGTTACTTGCTGGTGCGACAGGAAGGGAATGTAGGAATGAACCCATGGGGTTCCTTAAAAGGAAATGTTGATGCGGGCCACCAGAGGAAACGAAACAAGATCCACCTGATAGAAACGGGAAGCCCCGGGAATCTGGACATGAGTGCCCAAATGGCAGCTAGATGCGTCAAGACCATGCCTGCGTGCACCAGACTTATGTTGGGCACCGGGGGGAGGTTTCTACAGCAAAATCCACAGCTTCCAAACAGGAGCTGTGCAGTGGTTGTGGTCTGCTGCTGCTGGTTTCGGAAATGGGGCAAGGAAAAAAACACACACACACACACACACACACACACACACCCACCCACCCACCCACCCACCCACCCACCCACTCACCCACCCACCCACCCACCCACCCACCCACGCACGCACGCACGCACGCACGCACGCACGCACGCACGCACGCACGCTCGCTCGCACGCACGCACGCACGCACGCACGCACGCACGCACGCACGCACGCACGCACGCACGCACGCACGTGCAGGGTCTCTTCCTGCCAGTCGTCAGCTGACATTGCAGATCGCAGTTTAGGAGTCCAGCCAAAACTGGGCCGGTCAGCATCGACATGAAGGGGACGGCGGCCTCGCTAGCTACTTTCAGGCTGTCCGCCTCCTTCTCCCCGCAATGAAAGGCAGTCATCCTCGCTGCCAATCATAAGGCGCGGAAGCCAAAGAGTTGACCCGCTCAATCTGCAGTGTGTCAAATCCTATACAAAATCGACCTCGCACAATTTCGCACCTGGCCTAAATGGCTGTGGGTCAAAACCAATGGTACCATTTTCGGGTAGGTGCACCACCCATTTTAGAATCTATTCTAGTGGGGATTGGGATGTTCACTGGCGGTACGATTTGGATTTGGATCCACGGCCAAACCAAGCAGCAGGTCGTAGTACAAGGAGTTCAGCTCCGCTTCCTCAATGAGGCGTTCCGCCTCCGGCACCGCTGCAGGCACCGCCTCAGCTTTCATGTGACGCGCTGTTCTGGGGACACAGCTGGCAGGGGCTTGGGATCTTTCATGTGGCCCAAATGGGTGTGGCTCAAAAATAGGTCAATGGACCTGGTGGTGACTAGTTTGACCCATACCCAACTGTCCCTGAGCACGTGTACCACAAAATGGTATCAGTCCTAAGGTAGTTTGAGGCCATTTCAACAGGGCACACATGGCCCATTTGATTGTAGGTTCGAACGTATGTATGTCAAACTGTGACAGGACGATGTTGGCTCAACTGGTGCAAGTCAAAATGTTGGCTAATCCCGCTTCACCTTCGTGCTGGCAGCAACACATTGGGATTCCGATGTGATGGGATCATACACTGCGTTGAATAACTTCGACGAGGGTGGGCGCAAAGCACGTCACTCAATCGTGCAAGGGCTGTCACGCTCTCACGCTGCTATGCTGTTGCGCTCTTACGCCGCGAACCCCTCTGTTTATGCTGCGTTTGAGCAAGAGTGATTGACACTACTTGAGTGCCTCCAATGAAATCAGCTGTCCTGAAATGAGAGAGAGCCAGCGAGACAGACTGCCAGAGCCCCAGGCACGCAGGCAGGCAGGCAAACAGACAGAGAGAGCGAGAGACAGAGAAACTGAGAGACGGAGAGACGGAGACGGAGAGACGGAGAGACGGAGAGACGGAGAGACGGAGAGACGGGGAGACGGAGAGACGGAGAGACGGAGAGACGGAGAGACGGAGAGACAGAAACACAGAAACACAGAGAGGCAGAGAGGCAGAGAGGGAGGGAGGGAGGGAGGGAGGGGAGAGGAGGGGAGAGGAGGGAGGGAGTGGAGATGAGGGGAGGAACGTTGTCACGTCTTAAATCTTCGACTCAGTTCACCTGTACATAGTGATGTGCTGGCTGCATGGCAGAGCAAATCAATCATCTAAAGTGCCGGCGTGTTGGCGATCGGTCTCTCAAATGGTTGTGGGTTACCCAAAATGGGTTGCCCTTGTAAGTGGAAACATGGACCAAAACCTGCGGTCCATTTCCTGGCGGTGTCATTTTGACCCAGCACCCATACCCAAATTCAGGTCCGGCAAGCATCCGCCCGCAGCCAAGGAACGTTGAGGAGGTTCACTGAGAAGGCCAACTCTTTCTCCAAGCGCCAGAAGAGCTGATGCACCTCTGCCAGAAAGGTGGTATGGTGCAGGTGTAAGGTTCAAGGCAGGTTGGTGTAGGCCAGGTGCGAGGTTCAAGGAAGGTTCGGGAGGTTCTGGGGTGGTCTGGCGCAGGCAGGTGTAAGGTTCAAGGAAGGTTCCGGCGGTTCCGGGATGGTCTGGCCAGGTGTCAGGCTCGAGCAAGGTTCCGGAGGTGGTCTGGTGCAGTGGAGGTTCTGGGGTGGTCTGGTGACGGCTAGGTGTAAGGTTCAAGGAAGGTTCCGGAGGTTCTGGGACGGTGCAGGCCAGGTGTACGGTTCAAGGAAGGTTCCGAAGGTTCGGGGCGGTGTGGTGACGGGGTCTCAGCCCAGATCCAGGGCGTCCCTGCGGTAAGGTTCCACGACAGTTCCACCAAGGTTGCACCAGGGTTCCACCAGAAATCCACAAGGGTTCCACGAGGTTCTGCGAGGGCTGCGGGGTGGTGCACACACTAAAACAAGCACCGCATGCTGTTGGGGATATCACCTGAGCTTATTGTGTTCCTTCCTTCCTTCCTTCCTTCCTTCCTTCCTTCCTTCCTTCCTTCCTTCCTTCCTTCCTTCCTTCCTTCCTTCCTTCCTTCCTTCCTTCCTTCCTTCCTGCCTTTCTTTCTTTCTTCCTTTCTTTCTGTTTCTCGCGCCTCCAGGATGGAGGTCAGCGGCTTCTGCCGAAGCCTCGTGAGCGTCTTCTTGACAATCCGGAGCTGCGCATCGCGGCCTGTTGGGCAAGGCCACTCCATCTCCTAAAGCACTATCTAGACATGGGTATGGGTCAAAATTAAACTACCAGGGGACCGCAGGTTTTAATCCATGTTTCCATTTACCAGGGTTCCATCTTGGGTACCTAATTTTGACACACAGCCACATACTGCTTTGCACTTGAACGCCCAGTGTCAAGATGACTTGCTCTCACACAACTTCCCAGATCCAACGCCTATGCGTTGCGTCCAGTCCAAGTGCATTGCCTCGGTGACATCAGCCGTCAACGATGCTCTTGCACACGAACACACACAAATACACTTGGCTTTGTCTGTTAAGGCTTGACACGCCCCTAGCCTTGTCTCGCTCGGATTGGAGCTGCATTACTGGAAACTCGCATGAGATGGGATATAAATTGGCGGCATTGCATTTACATTCCCAGAACAAAAGTAAAGAGTGAGAGGCTTCGCCTCATCATCACAAAGTGTTGGCAAGTGCAACGCGCTAGCTGCTCACATGAAGACAAGAAGGCTTCCGTACAGCACGAGCCGTCATCATTCAAGTCCGAGCAGCTGTGAAGTCCGCCATGTAGTTTTCCAGCATGTCTGTGTCCATGTCAGGGCAAATGCCGATCTCCGCCAACTTACTCATCCTCGCTGCCACGTGTGTCTCGATCAGATTGGTTTCTGCCCGTATCAGACTCATTGTACATCTGGGTGTCTAAAATGTGTGTGTGTGTGCGTTTGCCTGCCTTTGTGCATACACATGTTTGCGTGCATTCAATGACTTACAGGTGTTTGTGTTTGTCTTTTTGTGTGCCTGTCTTTGTGCATCACGTGCTTGCATGCATTCAATGATGTGTGTGTGTGTGTTGTTGGTGCCTGTCTGTACATACATGTGTTTGTGTGCATTCAATGACGTACAGGTGCTTGTGTGTGTGTGTGTGTGCGAGTATGTGTTTGTGCTTGTCTTTGCGCATACACATGTTGGCATGCATTGGATGACTTGCATTTGCGTGCCTGTCTTGCGCATACAGGTGTTTGCGTGCATTCAATGACTTACAGGTGTTTGTGTTTGCGTGGATGTCGGCCTGTTTTCGTGATGTGCGTTGTGTGTCTGTTCTGTGTGTTCTCTGTTTGTGTGGTTTTGCGTGTGTTGTGTGTATGAGTGTTGTGTGTGTATGTGTTGTGTGTGTGCGTGTGGGGTGTGTGTGTGTGTGTGCGTGTGCGCGCGTTGTGTGTGTGTGCGTGACTTTGTAATGTGTGTTGTGTGTCTGTTCTGTGTGTGGTTGTGTGTGATCCTGTGTGTTCTCTGCTTGTGTGGTTTTGCGTGTGTTGTGTGTGTGTATGTGTTGTGTGTGTGTGTTTGTCTTGTGTGTATGTGTTGTGTGTGTGTTGTGTGTGTGTGTATGCGCGTTGTGTGTGTGTGTGTGCGTGCGTGTTTGTCTGTTGTGTGTGTGTGATGTGCGTGCGTGTTTGTCTGTTGTGTGTGTGTGTGTGTGTTGCGCGTGCGTGTGTGTGTGTGTGTGTGTTCTGTATGTGTTGTGTGTGTGTGCTTGACCTATGCCTGCGTTGTGTGTGGGGTGTGTGTGTGTGTGCGTGTGTTGTGTGTGTGTGCGCTGTGTGCCTGTGTTGTGTGTGTGTGGGCTGTCGGTATGTTCTGTGTGTGTGTGTGGGTGTTCTAGGTGTGTGGGTGTTCTGTTTTCTGTGTGTGTGTTTGTGCGGTTATGTGTGTGTGTGGTTGTGGTTGTGTGGTTGTGTGTGGTTGTGTGTGGTTGTGGTTGTGTGGTTGTGTGCGGTTGTGTGTGTGTGTGTGTGGTTGTGTGTGGTTGTGTGTGTGTGTGGTTGTGTGTGTGTGTGGTTGTGTGTGTGTGGTTGCGTGTGTGGTTGTGTGTGTGTGTGTGTTAGCGTTTGTGTGTGCGGTCGTGTTTGCATTTTTGTGAGTGTGTTTATAGGTTGTTTGTCTGTTTGTGAGTTTGTGTGTTTGTGTGTGTGTGTCTTTGTGTTTTGTGTTCTTGTGTTTCTGTGCTTAAAGAAGCTGTGTTTGTGTATTTGAGTTGATGTGGTTTTGTGTATTGTGTTGTTTCTGTGATGATTTGTGCTGCTTTTGTGTTTGTGTGTGTCTGCTCGCAACTCTTGACCTTTATATCTTGGCATCTCTGTCCTGCTTGAGTGGAATACTCGTGTTGACCCACTCTGCTCATGGATCCCTGCCAAGAAGTTCGTTTCCGGCAAGAGTAAACGTGTTGGGATGCAAACTCGGTAAAGTATCAGTTGGATTCTATCCTTACCGCAAGCAGGAAAGTGTATGTCTTTGTTTGGCCCTCTGCTCCATGTTGCGCAGCCAGGGCGCTGGTACTGGGACTGAAGCGCTGCCAACTGCTCCCCCGGCGGGTTCTGCTCAATGATGTGCCGCACTCCATCGATGATGCGGCTGATGAACCAGCTGGCCTTGCCCAAACAAAGCTCTCGAGTTCTGGCTCCGACAGCACCACGACTGGATAGATGCGATGCGTGCACTGGCTGGCCGTGGTTTAGCCAACCTGTGCTTGGGGGAGGCTTAGGATGATGCAGCTCGTCAACAACCAAGGGCTGCACAGAAGTCACAGCAACAAACCGGAGCCGGTAAGTTGAGCTTTTGTTGGACCCCCCTGTCGAGCCGATCAGCTCGATGGTTGAACGCTAGAAGCCAACAGCGGACCCTTCCTCACATTTTCGGTGGGCTCCGCGGGCAGTTGGAACCCTGAAAAATGAAGCACACGCTTCCCGACCTTGCAAAACTTTGTCAAAGTTCCGTTGCATCCGCTTAGACTACGCCTACTGCAGCCTGAGACGACCAGTCGGTGTGACGAGGGGAACTCGCCGCGTGCTGCCCAAGTGGCCGGGAAGCAGCTGCCGAAGGGCCGCGCGCTGGTGTAGGCGTCGGTGCCCACCTGGCGAGCGCAGTATCCCTTGGTCAAACACAGAGAGCCCAAGCCCTTGGCATTCCAATCCCATTCGAAGTTCTAAGGGAAACCGATAGAAAGATGATACTTCCCGGAGAATGGGAAAGTTACCCATGCTCATTTTGGGGCCACATGACGTCGACCAGAAAGACGCTTCAGAGAGAGAGCAACAGCCTCACGCGCTGAGCGATTGGAGCGGCGTGCCTCATGCTGAGCTGTGGCCGACTCCGTGAGGGCACTGATGGCCTGGCCCGAGCGATGGCATGCGGCAAGCAAGCGTTGAACGAGCGGGGGGCCGGGTGGCTGCGCTTTGGTCTCCGGTCGCATTTGGCTGTGGGTCAAAAATAGGTACCCTACTGGAACCCTGGCAAATGAAACAATGGACCAAAACCTGCGGTCCCCTAGTGGTTTAATTTGACCCACACCCAATTTAAGTCAGAGCTTAGACGGTCGCACAGGCAGCTTCAAGCCAGGCCTCATTCTGCAGGCGAGCACTCAAAGGCGACAGCAAGGAGGCTGTAGAGAGCTTCAGCCAATACTCCTGCGATTGACTCAACCTCTTTGCATTTTGTCCACCATCTAATCGTGACGGTCTACAATCCCCCAAACCAGCAGAGTGGAAGGCGCGGGGATCTATCAATTCTGGCATTAAACCAAGGCCTAAATCCGACCGGCACAGACGCTGTCAGCTGTCCCGCTTGTTGGGCGTGTTCAACAGCTCCAAGCCGGAGTTGCCTTGGGTCTATCCCAGGCCAAAAAAACCAAAGCGAAAGCCTCCCATCAGCTGTACAGTCCCATTGCCCTCGCAAGAATGTGATCAAACCCTCCAAAAGGGACCAACATGGGCAAGAACCTGAGAAGTATTCTGTAAAAAAAAAAACAGTGGCCGCCGGGGCGCGATCCAGGTGCGCCAGCAGCGCAGACAGCAGGGAGCCCACCAGCACCACCACCCGCCCATGCAGGGCGGCCCGGAAGGTGCCCGCCAGGGCCAGCTCCTTTCGACAGCGTTATCCAGAGGCTACAAATGGGTCCCACGGGCGAAACTTCAACCAAGGGGGGTTGTTTGTTGCCCCCAGGGGGGGAACACACAATCTGCGCAGGTTGTGAACTGTTGTTGGGAATCCTCACCTTTCAACGTTTGCGTTTGCAAACGGGCACCGGTTGGCAACTGTCCTTCGGCGAGCCTTGAAGCCAATGTCGGAAAACGGTGCGAAAGGACTCTTTGTGCCGTGTTTTTGCGTTGACTCTTGTTGACACTGCGCAGGGAAAGGTTGACAGATTGAGGGAAGATTGCGCTGTTGATGAAGATTTTCTTCATCAGATCGCCCAGATTCAGTATTGCACTGAGTTGTCTGGGGGAGAGCGAAGGCAGTGATTTCGAGGCTGGTACTCAAGCAGCCCAGAGGAATTCGTTTTCGAACAGCATGTGGCGCGGATTGATCCTCTCAGCCGTGTGGAAGAAACAGGGGGGGAACCGTTATAACCCAACTGGGCTACACAAAAAAGGGGGCAACCGTTATATTTTCAAGCCCTGGAAACCGACAAAAAACCCAAGCCCTGGGCTCAAAATATACCAAAGGTTCTTGTGACGGGCTCAGAACAATTGCCCGCGATACCCGCCGCTCGTCGATGGGGACATTTGCACATACTGCAGCGGACCTGCATATGAAACTCCACCGCTTCCGAGATTGGCACATCCACTGGGACGTGTCGTCCACCAACAGGGTTTTGATTAACATCCTGCCCCAGACACGTCCAAAAGAGTCAAAACTCTTTATGTGCGCGATGGTTATCGTGCCCACCAACCCCAAGCAAAGAATCAGAAAGCCGAAATGGCAGTTCCTATAGCAAGCTGAAATGTCTCGACCCCTGGAAAGATGACAAGGCTTTGGCAAAACCTCGAAAGGAGCCTTGGGCGACAAAGAGGCCCTGTTCTTTGCCCCTGAAACACACCAGCTGCCTGCCTGCGCAGCCGAGGCAATGGCAGCGAACCAGTGCCTGAGCGCCCAAATCAGCCGAGTGCCATATTTGCCAAGTGAGTCAGCTCTTATGTGATTGTGTGTGTGTGTGCTTTGCAATGTGCTTTTCTCTGCTGTATGTATGTATGTATGTATGTACGTACGTACGTACGTATGTATGTATGCATGCATGGCGCATGGCATGGCATGGCATGGCATGGCATGGCATGGCATGGCATGGCATGGCATGGCATGGCATGGCATGGCATGGCATGGCATGGCATGGCATGGCATGGCATGCCATGGCATGCATGCATGCATGCATGCATGCATGCATGGATGTATGTATGTATGTATGTATGTATGTATGTATGTATGTATGTATGTATGTATGTATGTATGTATGTATGTATGTATGTATGTATGTATGTATGTATGTATGTATGTATGTAATGTATGTATGTATGTATGTATGTATGTATGTATGTATGTATGTATGTATGTATGTATGTATGTATGTATGTATGTATGTATGTATGTATGTATGTATGTATGTATGTATGTATGTATGTATGTATGTATGTATGTATGTATGTATGTATGTATGTATGTATGTATGTATGTATGTATGTATGTATGTAATGTATGTATGTATGTATGTATGTATGTATGTATGTATGTATGTATGTATGTATGTATGTATGTATGTATGTATGTATGTATGTATGTATGTATGTATGTATGTATGTATGTATGTATGTATGTATGTATGTATGTATGTATGTATGTATGTATGTATGTATGTATGTATGTATGTATGTATGTATGTATGTATGTATGTATGTATGTATGTATGTATGTATGTATGTATGTATGTATGTATGTATGTATGTATGTATGTATGTATGTATGTATTATGTAATGTATGTATGTATGTATGTATGTATGTATGTATGTATGTATGTATGTATGTATGTATGTATGTATGTATGTATGTATGTATGTATGTATGTATGTATGTATGTATGTATGTATGTATGTATGTATGTATGTATGTATGCCATGAAATGCTTCAACATTTTTCGGCAATACTTGGATTGAGAAAAACGTGCGCGACTGCTTTACTGTGAGTCAGGCTTACACAGCAAGCCCTCTCATCCAAGGAGCTTGTCATCGCCAACAGATCCCTCAGCCGGGTTCTTGTGGTTCTTAGGCGTGTGGCGAAGGATGTGAAGCACCTCACCATTCATACAGAGCAGCAACCTGAATGCCGTAGTAAGAATTGGTACCCTCTGAATCTTCTTGAAAAATCCACGCATGTCTAGCCGCCAAGGTTACACAGTGACAGAGCCTCGAGGCGCACAAAAAACAAATCCGCAAAGTTGCGACCACGGCACCCACTCCCGCACCATACCGACCTGAGAGCTGCAGGCTTGGTACAGCAAAGGGTGTCAGGCATCAAATCGGCAGCTCAATACAGGCCGCCCTGCGACCTTTTCCTTGCTGCCCAAGAGGCAAACTCGGCATCCTCGATGTACTTCCTCGGGCCAAACATTTTACGCTGACATGAGTCTTCGAGTGCCCGCTTGAGCCTTCGAAGGCCAGAACTGGCCTAACAGTTGACATTGATGCCCAGCTCGTCTCCGCGTCATTTGTGCTTATCTTGAGTGGGCTTCAGCAAGTAAAATCGACGATTGGAGAAGCTCGCAAAGATGTGAGAAGTATCACTAGATTTCCCCTCTGGTCTATTTGCCTGTGCTTTGACACACGATGCAGGCCAGGTCTCAGCATCAGCTGAATCTGTTGCTGCAAATCTCCGGGGCGGCGCGAGTGAGGGTACCTAGGATCGTACCCGCGCGGAACTTGCCACCTTTCTGGGCTGCCCTCAGATCCCCTGCTAAAAGCTTAGCTTTTAGTGGGCCAAATGGAAACCGCCACTCAACCGCAAGAATAAAACAAATATTTAAAAAAAAAAAAAAAAAAAAAAAAAAAAAAAAAAAAAAAAAAAAAAAAAAAACGCTACGGGACTGGGAGCCACCAAGCAAGGGTCTTCGAGGGAACTTGCCACACCTGCATGAATGTGAACCAGTCCTGTCCCAGGCACATGAGCCGGGACAGCGAGGAGCGGAAGCAGCTTCGCAGCAGCTTGGGGAACTCCAAGCCCTCCACCACGTCCTCAAACCGCGGAATCGAGCGCGGGAGCGAGCAAGCCGCGAATCAATCGGCCCATTGCTACAAGCATATGGCCATGGGTTGTTAAACCCTTTTGTATCGGATCCCATTTTGGGATTTTCGGTGAATTCACCACCCAGCTTAGAACCTATTTTAGTGGGGATTGGTTGATGGTCACTGGGGGTACGATTTGGGTTTTGACCCATGGCCATATAGTTCCGTGCCAATATTTTTTGGGAAACACAGCCTTAGACTCCCCCAAATGCACCAGAATGACAGTTCCCACAGCTTTCCCAAGAACCTCCCGCGCGCGGTGCTCTGCCGGGCGTCGATGAGGGGCATGTTGAGCATGGCCCCCAGCGATGGCATGGAGCTCAGGTCCGCCGAGGGCTCCACGGAGTCGAGGAACACCGCGCTCCACTGCGAGTCGAAGTCGAAGCTGAACTTCCCGTCGTAGCCTAAGCAAAAGTCGTTTGGGTATGGGTCAAAATGAAGCCACCAGGAATTGGACCGCACATTGTAGTCCATGTTTCTATTTACCCGGGCAAGCCATTTTGGGTACCCATTTTTGACCCACAGCCATTTCATAACTGGGCTGCTCTCAGATCCCCTGCTACAAGTTGAACTTGTGGGTCAAGTGGAAGCTACCGCGAAACCCAAACAAGCTCAAAAGCAAAGGGGATGGCCACCAAGACAAGGCGACCCCTTGGACATGACCTATTGGCTCGCAATGTTCCACCTGCATCGAAGAGGCCTCGCTGCAGGTGCACCACGAGAACCACAAACATGGAGCCCTTGGTGCCGGTGCCCTTCTGCAGGAAGCTGTTGCGTGCCTGGAGGCACCAGGCTGAGGTTGTGCCAGAGCCGCAGTTCGCTTGGCTTCCCGAATCTTGAAGGTCCATGTGGCTGGTGGGTCAAAAATGGGTAGCCAAAATGGAACCCTGGTAAATGGAAACATGGACCAAAACCTGCGGTCCAATTCCTGGTGGCTTCATTTTGACCCATACCCATGTCAGGTACCCTTTGGGGGGCGGGCTGAAGGCCACAAGCGCCAACACCTGCTTGAGCCCGCGCCTTTTCGCATACGAAGCGGCAGTGCTCAATCATCCTCACGGAAGCGGCCACGGGGTCCGCATGAATGATCCTCGGTCGCGAGCCCCAGAATGTCACTATGGAAGTTGAGTCCCGCGATTTCTCTGAAACTTGACGCTCACTACAGACACTCCCAACAGTATGCCCTTGGTCGAGGCGCAGGAAATTCTTGTGATCCGCGGCATCGGTCAAGCTGTAGAAGTCGTGCACTGCCTGGACGTATTTGGGCATGCTCTGGAGATGCCAAAGCAGGCAGCCATGCTTCATCCAGAAAGAAACATGCCAGCTTACGGCCGCCTGCCCCATTCTACATGCTTCAGCCCCGTTTGCACTTACCAACACACACAGACACACACACACACACACACACACACACACACACACACACACACACACACACACACACACACACACACACACACACACACACACGCACTCACTCACTCACTCACTCACTCACTCACTCACTCACTCACTCACTCACTCACTCACTCACTCACTCACTCACTCACTCACTCACTCACTCACTCACTCACTCACTCACTCACTCACTCACTCACTCACTCACTCACTCACTCACTCACTCACTCACTCACTCACTCACTCACTCACTCACTCACTCACTCACTCACTCACTCACTCACTCACTCACTCACTCACTCACTCACTCACTCACTCACTCACTGACACACACACACACATGCGCACGCACACGGCGCATGCGCACGCACACGCACACGCACACGCACACCGGAGTGGGTGCTAACATTTCGAGAACGAACTCATCGAGTCCAAAGGTCGGGTGGGTTCGTTCAAGCGGGTGACATCTGAGACATGGCGCATGCAGAGCTGCACTCGGTTTCCCTCTAGCTTCTTCAACAGCGGCAAGGCAAACGGTGCAGGGAGGGACCAAAAGCACATTTGCCGAACACTAGCAGGGACACAGGGATGGTCAGTCCTTGCTTCCTGGAATCTTACCAGGAGCGCTGTTGGGCAGAGTCTTGCAAGTGCCCTCTGCTTCAATGTGGTTGCAAGGTTCCAGGGTAAGTCTGGGACGTGGCAAGCACGTACGAACTTGCTCACTCCTCGATGTTCGATCCCGGGCCTTCTCGATGTCGGTAGCACTGGAGAGCTCATGGAGCGACACCTCTTGGCGTGCCACCAGGCCCTGCACCTTCTGCAGCTCCACCCCGACCTTGCCGCGGATGGGGCTGTAGGTCATCACCTCAGCACTGAGTAATTGCTCTTCTCAGATCATAAGCTTGCCAGTGTCCTAGCAAAACTTGGGCCGAATTTGCCAGGGGCCGGGCCATGGTTTGGCTGCCATAGTCATCGCACCAAAAGTCCTGAGCACAGAGGTTCAAGAGAAATAAGAACGTATCCGGTGCCCATAACCGCCTGCTTCCAAAGCCCGACACTGCCAACAACTCTGGACATGTCTTCACAGGGAACGAAATTGGCGAAGGGCATGGAGCGCCAAGTAGGCGCTGACATTTTCTTTTGGCAAACTGTAGGCATCCTGGACTGGGAAGTTGGCTCCGTGCAGAGGTCAGTCCTTGTTCTGCACAGTCATCTCCGCAAAAGAAGGCAAATCCGAGTGCCTGAATTGCTTGCAGGCGACAGCAAACATGCGCCAGAAGGGCCCATGTTCAATCCACGAAACGGAGCGAGCATACTTTGACCCTTGAATTGCAGAGAGCCGGTTGAAACAAGGCTGCCCTCAGATCCCCAGCTAAAGGTTTAACTTTTAGTGGGTTAAATGAGAACTACCACTATACCTCAAACAGAAGGTAGGGGATGGCTGGGAGCCAAGGAAAGTCCTATGAGCTGTGTGTTGCGCCTCTGCTTCTCGAAGTACTCGCTGACAATGTCAAAGCCTTGGACACGAGACAAGGGGATTGCCGGACTGCGCGTAAAATTCAAAACATGGCGATAACCTTCACCTGCATGCTTTCTTATGCGATCTCTATGAAACAAGCGGCCAGTAGGGGGGCCCAAAAGCTGCATGCAAACGAACGCACACTGAAGTGGCATCCGGGAAAGAAAGCAGTAGCGCATGAACACCAGCTTAGCAATGGACATCCCTTGCTGAATAAGCTTTGGAAGTAGCACATCGCTAGCAAGCCGAGCAGCCAAACTTCATTTGCATCTCAGCCGGTTGCAAAGTCGCCGCAGTGATGCAAACCGCTTCCTGACGCAGCAACCGCTTTCCAGCTTCAAGCTGGCTTCTCAAGCCTCTCTGACTTCTAAATGCGCTAAGATCAAGAAAGTAGGCCGAGCAGCCGGTGTCAGAACCCAGGTGATCACACGCTTGGCAATCTCCACAAGTTCCTCCAGCGGCCCTCAGTTGTGAATATGTCACGCGCCAGAATGTGCTCCAAGCATCGGGTTCAGCCCAGCGAAGCCTTCTGCTCCCAATAGCTGAACTGGCAGATGTCAGAATCAAAATGTTCATTCGAAATCGCGGATGCCAACGAGTGGCAACTGTGTTTGTGCTTGCACGCTGAACACAGCACAAAACGTTGACGAGATCAAGTGCAAATAGTGGCTGGCATCTCACTGGTTATACAACTGATGATTATATTTAAAAAGCATGCCTATTAACATCTCTTGAAACAGCCATTGCCACACACAGCCTACTCCTTTCTTGTGACCTGCCGCATCATCTTCACTCTTGGCAACTAATTGTGCTTGAAGATCTCATCTCCAAGACATCCGCGACCCTCTCAAAAGCATCTCCACCGGTTTCGGACTCTGCCCGCGTTTCTGCCATCCAGGCGCTGCCGGCGTGGGTCTTCCGCAGGGTGAAAACCAAGGAGCTCAGCAGCTCGGGGTGGTAGCCTGGATCGAACCATCAGAAAGTCCACACAAAATCCAGCGCTACAGCTGGGGTTCTGTTGGTTTCTCTTCAAAGGCAGCATTGTGGATGGAAGCACAGTTCAAAGTGGGATAGAACTTGCTTGCAGATGTGATTGATCTTTGATCATCATTGCGGTTTGGGGAAGGAAGTTCCAGCCTGATCAACAACTTGAGCCTTTCCTTGTGAACCCTGTAGAGCAGACACCGCTGGCCTGCAATGGGCCGATGAGAGCCCGTGCTCAGCATAGAGTTCGGCTGATCCAGCGCACGTTCCTCCTCGGTCCCATCTTCCTGGCGAGTT